GTAAGCACTACAGGTATTTTACAACATAAGAACATGAATCAATCCTCAGGAAATAACAGAAGCTGCCACCCTCTCCCCATTCTGCACCCAGTTTTAAGAGTCTCATCTAAAGGCTGAAAGGTGCTGTGGGAATCTCACTGGTCAGAACTCAGTGATCTATTATTCAACGATATTTACTGAGCACCTAAAATATGCCAGGCTTTAGCCTCTGTAGAAAGGTACAATGGTGAGCAAAATGGATACAGTCCTTAAACTCATGGAGCTTACATGACACTCAAAAACACAAGAATAAATGTAAAATTTCAACTGTTATAAGAGCTGCAGAGAAGAGCAAATATAGGAAAGCCTATAATAGGGGCTTTGATCCAACGGGATGAATAGAAGGCTTCCCCAGGTAAGTGATGACTGAATGGAGAGCTGAAGAACAGGCAGGAACTAACCAGGTGAGTGGGGATGGGGAATAGATGGAAAGAACACTCAGTGTGTAAGAAACAGCAATGTGCAGTTTCTGTATTGTAAGGAAGCAGGGAGAATTCAAGGAATGAAGGAAGGTTAGTGTGGCTAGAACCCAAAGAAGGAGAGGGAAAGGGACAGGCCATGCTGGGCCTTGCTGGCCATGTTAAGGATTTTGATCTTTATACTAGAAGTAGTGTGAAGTCATTAAAGGCTTTCAGTAGGGATGTTCACGTGTATCTGTGTGTGACACAGAGATTCTAGTTTTGAAAAGATCACTCTGGCTGTGGTATAAACTCTGACTTGAGTCATAACTGGAAATGTGGGAACAATTTAGCAGACTATTGTCTGGAGAGGGGTGATGGTAACACAGATCAGGGAGATGGCAGAGATGATGCAGAGAGGATGGATTCCAGAGATGGATGAAGAAGGTAAAGTTACAGGATTTGGAAAGGAATCAGATCCATGGTCAAGGAAAGGGAGCTGTTGCCTGCCTTGTGCTACATGATTGAGAGTGGTGCTAGTCATTGCCATGCAGAACATTTGGTCATCAAATGTTCTGAGTGTTTTCTGAATGCTTCGCCAGGCACCATGCTGGAGATACTGGTGGATGACTGGGTTTCCAGGAAATGATTGTGTGGAATATAAGATGCATGTAAGACATCCATGTAGAGATTTCTCTTCCTGGGAGCCCCATAAGACTTCACTAGAATGAGGGTAAGCTCCATGAAGGAGGGGGCTTTTGTCTTTTGTTTATTGCTAAGTGTCTGCAGCTCCTAATGTTTGGGCACCTAAGTACGATTTATTGGTTGTATAAAAGAATGAATCTCTTTTATCTCTTGCCTCTGCCAGGCCCCTCTTATGTTCATGCGGCCCAAGGGAAAAGGTGGTCTTCATTAGATCTAAAGCCTCCCAAACCTGTCATAATGATGGGTCCCCATGTGTAGGTAGTGATGATTCTGCTGGTGGTGGTAGTCGTGTTGCAAGGATCTCTGTTAAGAACTAAGAACCTTACTGGTCCAAAGTATAGAAACTAAAGTAAAATGTTAACCTAGCTTTCGGTATTCCAAATCGGCTGTTTGACACTCCTGATACATTTCTCCCCCAAATCAAAGGACCTTTTGGGACACGCCGCTGCTTAAATCAAACTGTTCCTATATTTTTAAAAGGTGAAGTGGCAGTGTGAGTTCAAGACACCGAACAGCGGTCGTGGGGTTCTTAAGCCACAGCCATCTAGTGGGTCTAGCGAGGTCTGCACCACCCTCGGGGAAAAGGCGCACTCACTGGACACGTCCGGAGCCGCGTTCGGGCACTGGCTCAGGGCCTGTGACGCGAGGGTGTCGAGCTCCTCCAGGTCGTCGGCGGTGAAATCCCCGTGCGCGCCGAATGGGTCTTCTGGGTCTGGGGGGGCGGCCGCGAGGAAGCCCCGGGCCCGCTTGCTCGGAGGGTGCTGGGTGCTGGACGGCGGGCCAGAACTGGGTGCCGGGGGCCCGCTCCGCCTCCTGCTGCCTGGCGCGGGGATTCCAGCCATGCCTGCCGCCAGCCGGTATCCGAAGGCACCGAGTCCGCCCTGTAACCTCGAGGCCGGAGGGCTGGACCAACCGATCGCGCGCTGCCGCTCGCCTCAGCCGCTGGGGCCGCGCCCCCTAGCCAACAGGCCAATCACCTTCCAGTCGGTGGGCGGGGATGAATGACGTAATCAGACCGCGCCGCGGTGCTCAACTGGGTGCCTGCGAAGCTCGGTCGCTCCCAGCCCTTCTGGGCATCACCGCGCCTGGCGCTTTCGTACCGACGGCTGGGACCCCAGTATGCGGGTGGTCTAAGAGGAGAGAACCGAGTTACCTGGGCTAACTCACCAGCCCCACCGCGCAGGTGGCTCTGCGCCCGCTCTCTGGCATCACTTAGGGTACACAGCTGGGCTTGGAGGAGTTCGCCCTGATTTTCACAAGTGCACATGTGAATCGAGTCAGGGAGCATTCAGGGGTTTGGTCTTTGTGAGCTCGCTGTTCTCCAGCGAGACCCACTTCTCATATACCCCAAGGCTCTCTTGGGGAGGAGTGTGGGAGAGTGGGACTGGGCGGAAGTTATGACTAGAGCTGTTGTGAGCACACATCTTTGAGAACAGTAAATGCTTTGAATGTGTACCTTTGAGTTAGGTCTGGAGAAAGAAAGGTCTGAGAAGGGGTGATCCTGAGAATGGTGTGCCTGTGTTGGAGGGGGTGGGAACTAACTGCTCAGGCTGTTAATATTCATTCATTTCTCTGAGAGCTCTTGAGTGTTTTTGGCCCAAGCGACGGTCATAGTTTAGAAATGAATGAAACTCAGGAAGTTAAGGAAGGCCCCCTGGAAGTAGCACCTGGGCTGTCCTACAGGTTGAGTGGAAGTTACCAACAATTACCAAGGAGGGCTTCCCCGGTGGCGTAGTGATTAAGAACCCGCCTGCCAATACAGGGGACACGGTTCGAGCCCTGGTCCGGAAAGATCCCACATGCTGCGGAGCAACTAAGCCCGTGTGCCGCAACTACTGAGCCTGAGCTCTATAGAGCCCAGCCTGCACTCTGCAGAGCCCACAAGCCACAACTAATGAGCCCGCATGCCACAACTACTGAAGCTCATGCACCTAGAGCCTGTGCTCCATAACAAGAGAAGCCACCGCAATGAGAAGCCCGTGCACCGCAACGATGAGTAGCCCCCGCTTGCCGCAACGACAGAAAGCCCGCGCGCAGCAACAGACCCAGTGCAACCAAAAATAAATAATTTTAAAAAAAGAAAAGAGTTACCAAGGAGGATGGCACCAAGACTACTCAGACAAGAACACAACACTGAAATGGACGCCACACAAGTGCCAGGTAGGAATTATCGATGGCAGAGAGAGAAGGTAAGGCTTTAGAGAGGAGCAAGGATTCAAGCTGGGCTTGAGTGGCTGACAGGATTTTACTGGGCAGCAGTCATGTGCACAACGGTTAGCAGGAACAGGGTGTTGGAGAGTAACTGGGGCAAGACTTTTCATCCTTGAATGCTCAGTGCCAAACTTGGCCTGTGAGTGTCCTGTGAATGTTTGTGAAGGCAGTAAATGAAAGGGAAGTGGTTGTCAGGGCCTAGAGGGTCTTGAATACCTGGCTTTAGTTTTTTGAGGTAATTGGTAGGTTCCCTCAGACAGCTGCCCAAATGTTGAATGCTTGTCTTAATTGCTCCAAGACTCTGGTCCCGTAAAGGGACAGGATTATACTTCCATGTGTTAATGCTGATTAGGTTCTACCAAATAAAACAGCAGTAGCTTAATCTCAGGGGTGGTGTGCTGGCACTGGCTCTCTGAAGGGTTATTCTCAGTAGCACAGGGATGGGTGCGAGCTGGCAAGGTCCAACAGGGAATCCCTTAAGTCCAAAGATGCTGCTGGCTGTGCAACTTTCCGGGAGAGAAGCAAAGTGGGCTGTTTTTCTTTTTCTACTAATATCAAGTACATTAGAATGATAATACAGGCTTCAATCTATCAAAACCTTTTCCAGTTTTGACTCAGCAAAATCTCAGACTAGTTCTAGAGCCCTTTTTGAAAACACATTCTCAGAGAGAGCTAAGTGTTATTCGCATTATTCCCATAGTTGTATCAGGAATTTACTCTTCCTGGAGTCAAAAGTGGTAGGTAACAAATGTCAGGAGAGAAAAAGGCAACAGGGTTAAGAGACACTGGGACTGCCACTACAGTCAGGAAAGAGCTCACTAATGTGACATTTCAGTTCTCTAAAGGAAGGGAGTTTCCAGTTGGTGATAACAGTGAGGCAGGAGCTTGACTGGAATGTAGGCCACTGTGGCTCACGATTGATCAGGAGGATGAATGCTAGACACCAGAGGGTAGGGAGTGGCATCCAGATCCCTTAGTGCCTCACTGGTCATTGTAGGGACTTGTGTTTTTTTTGCACTAAGAAGCCACTGAAGAATTCTCAGCCAGGGAGAGACAAAATGTAACTTTATGGTTTAGAGATCACTCTGGGTCCTGAATAAGGATTAGACTGTACGGAAGCAAGGGTAGCGGCAGGAAGACAAATTTGGATGTGACTACAATAATTTAGGTGAGGGATTTTAGGGTCAGAATGAAGGTCCGGTGGTATAAGAGTAAATATGAAGGGTTCAGATTTGATTTTGCTGATGGGTTGAACGTAGAGTATAAGAAATGGGAACCTAGCAAGGACCTTTCTGAAGCCCTAGTGGAAATGCAGACCTGGGGGCTTCAGAGTAAGCTTAGTTCTTACAGACTTTTAGGAATCTCTCCTTTCTCCAGTCTTTTTGCCCTTCATAACACATATCATATGTATTTGTCCTGCTCCCCTCCAACAATAGAGAAGTTCCTTGGCAAGAGGAATTGTTCACTGGTGCATGCCCGGCTTGCACAAGCAAGACTCCTTACATGAACAGATGAACAACCCCATTAAAACAAATAGTAATGTGGATGTCATAACAGAAAGAATAGATTTTCTTCCCAAAGTACAAATTCTTCCACTAATCTCATGTAATATATTCTGTTGGGTATATAACCACACAGAAAACAACAGCCATTTCAAATGAGTTGGTTTAATTCCAGGTGGTACAGAATTCAGGATAGAACAAGGACTTCAGAACACACTTTGGCAGGATTCTGGGCTGGGTTTATGCGGATCTCACAGCTAAGGTAGAAATGGCTGAGAAGAACTAAAGACAAGATGAACCACTGTATGATTTTTTTTTTTTTTTTACAAAAGTTTATTCTTAAATGTACAATAGGTTCCAAGACAACACTTCATTCTAGCTATAGGTGGCAACAGATGTTATGGCAGGGAATCCAGATGTTTAAACAGGAATGGAACTAAGGATCATCATTGCCTCAGGCACAAGGAACAGCTTACTTTTTGCCAGATTTCTTAATTCCGCCTGTTGCTGCAAAAGGAAAAAAAAAAAGTCTCATCCAGGGAAAAAGACAGTTCTATGGCTGAAGCCCCAGGGGCCTGATAAGGATCCTAATAAGGTCCAGCTCTTTGTACTGGGCATTTTTTTGGACACAAGCATGCACAGGGCTTTCCCAGTATTATCTATTCTGGGCAAAAGTAGAATGAGAATAAGGCAGGGCACGGGTAATGGCTGTGCACTGGTCTGGATCCCAAGTGTGTTGTGTATTTCAGACTGGCTCACTTAATCCTCATCCCCTATCAACCCATTTTACAAATAACAAAGTCTCAGTGTTAGGTGTTGTTCAAAGTTATAAACTGGTATGTGACAAAGCCAGGATTCCAAGCTGGGTAGCCTGACTTCCAAGTCCATACTCTTAAGTGTCATATCACACATCACCTTCTGTATTACGATCCTGGGATCTGATTTACTCACTACCTTTATTTTACCCAATTTACAAATGACTGTATTTGGCACAGGGTAGGTAATTTAACAAACAATTATAGAATTAAGTATGCCTAATATAGAAATGGAAGTCCTAAAGGGCTGTGACAAAATAAACCTTAAAAAAAAAAGTAGATGATGCTCAATAGAAACAAGTAGTACAGGATTTCACTAAGGGTTGGGCTTCTCCCCATACATAATCACAGATTAAGGGAAGGTGCAAGATACCTCACATCATTCCAAAAAGGAATCTCAATATCTACAATCTCAGCGCTGTGTGGGTACACAAAAATGACTCAAACCCACTAGAATAGAGGTCTTGGGAAACGCTGAATGACACTCCCACCATCCCAGCCTTCGTTGTCCCTAGGGTGGCTCAGTGATCCAATAGGGTATAGATAACTGTTGAGAAAATAATCCTATTTTGATGAATGTAAACAGGATTTAAGAAGCACAAAGTACAATGACTGACGAGTTTTAAAAAAATCTTTTGATATGTAATCAATTCCTCTTACACAAAGACAAAAAAGAGGCAGAATGGTAGAGAATTAAGTTAAAAAACATATAGCACAATAGTATGCCAACAGACTTGGACTTTATCCATTAGACTAGGCGCATCCAGCAGTGAAAAGGCTCAGGATGCAGAATTATTTTGCTAGAGTTTTAACAATACGATTAGTAAATTAAGAAATGTTAGAAGCAACAAAGAAGCAGTGAAATACGAATTTGGAGCAAGAAACTGTAGAGGATATCTGGAAACTCAACTGTACTAACTTGTGTCTGAGATATATAAATTTCTGTATTTCCATTTCTGCCACTTCCCTAAGCAAGAGAAGCCCATACTGGGTCTGACTCCCGCCCCCTCTCCCGCTGCTGCGAAACCAAGCTTGGCTAGGGCCGTCCACTACAGCGGACACCAGCAAAAGGGACCTCGCAACTCACCAACGAGGCAGGACACGGACATGCTCGGGCCCGTAACCAGACTGATGCTCAGGCGTTTGTCCGGCTTGAGCTCTACCCAGCCCTCACTTACCCAGGGGGCCTTTCCCCGCGGCCTTCGCTTTTAGCTCCTCGAGTTTCTTTTGCTCCTCCTTCTGTTTCTGCTTGAATGCCTTATCTTCCTACGGAGAGGGAGAGCGGATTCACTCCCGGCGGATTTCTCAGACCCTCCGCGCCCGCCCACGCCTCTGCGCCAGCCCTCACCTCGTCCATCTCCTTGGCTTGCTTCTTGGGCTGCTTCAGGGGCTTCTTCTTGCCACCTGCGTGCGACACGAGCACGCTCAGCCTGGCCCCCGCCAGGTCCCGTCCCTCTCCACCCCGCCCCACCCCATCGTCCCCGCTCACTTACCTCCGCGACCCGACATGGCGCCTGCCGCCCCTTCCCCAGACCCTCCACCGGATGCGGGGTTCTCCGTCCCACCCCCTGAGCCTATACCTCCATGCGGGCCCGCAGATTGGCTCCTGGTTCGGAAGTTGCGCTCCCGCTGCCGGAAGCGGTCCGGAGGCGGGCACTAAAGGGTCAGAGATCAACTGAGTGACTGGCGCACGTTTGGGTTTGCGGCTCCGGCGCAAAACCCACCAGGTACTGGGGAGGTGGGGTGTCTTGCCCGGGGAGGATCCAGAAGCCGCGAGCGGTTTTTAACCGCAAGCGCTAAGCCTGGGACTGTGCACGGGGAGAGGACTGTAAGTAGAGGGAAGGGCTCGTGCAAAGGCCTTGAATCTCGGCGCATTCCTTACAGTGTGGCTGGTGGGAGATGCGAGGGAGGCAGCAGAAATGGGCGGGGGCTAGACCACCTGTTTCTAGAGCTTTGGAGGCCACCGGAAGGAGTTGGGGTTTTATAATATAGCCCGGGATGCGATATTTTTGCAAATTCTGTTAATTCATCCAGTACATTTTTGTTGAGTGTGTGCTATATGTGTGTACTTTAGGCACTGAGGATGCAGCAGTGAACAAAACAGTGCCTGCCCTGGCAGAGCTGCCGTTCTGGTGGGTGAGACTATAAGTAAATAAGTGAAATGCATACCACGGGTCATGTGATATGTGCCTGGGGAAAAATAAAGCAAAGTGGTTAAGGTGTCCTGGGGTGGGAGTGGACAGCTATGACATTTGAGCAGGACTTGAAAAAGAGAAGGGAGCAAGCAGTACAGATAGGAAACAGGTGGTATGAAGCCCCTGAGGTGGGAATAGCCTAGCATGTTCCAGCAACATAAAGAAGCTGGGAGTTATATGAAGTGAAAGATATGTTAGCTAACCTTGTTATGGTAAACATTTAGCAGTATATACATTTGTGAAGTCATCACATTGTACACCTTAAACTTTTACAATGTTGTGTGTCAATTTTATGTCAAAAAAAAAGACCGAGGGAAAAGGTCCATGTGACTGGAGCAGAGTGAGGAAAAGGAGACTGGTGAGAGGAGAGAAGAATGAGAGCCAGGAGGTGGATGCCCTGTAGGTCATGGAAAGGATTTTTGCTTTTACCTTGAGAGAAATGGGGAACGGTTGCAGGCTTTGAGCAGAGAGAGACATGGTCTGACCATGTTTTGAAAGCACCACTGCCTGCTCTGTTGACAGTAGGGGCTAGAGTAGAAGCAGGGAGACTTGTCAGAGGCTCTTAGGATAATCCAGACAAAAGATGTCAGTTGTTGGGACCAGGTGATAATAGTGACAGAGGCAAGAGGAAGAGGGATTCTGGATTTAGTTTCAGAGGTGGAGGTGGCATTTGTTAATGGACTGGATGTGAGGAGCGAGAGAAAGCAGAGTCAGGGATGATATGAGAGTTTGGGCCTGATTGGTTTCCATCAACCAAGATGGAGAAGGCTGTGGGAAAGGCAAGTTTGGGAGAGGAAGATAAGATCCCCATCAGCCTTCCAAGCAGAGACATGGAGTGAGCAGTTCGATAAATGAGCCTGGAATTCAGAGGAGAGGTGTGGGCTGGAGAGGTCCGATTATAGTTTGTTTGGGTTTTATTTATTTATTTATTTTTGGCCACGCCACGTGGCTTGCAGGATCTTAGTTCCCTTACCAGGGATTGAACCCGGCCCTGGCAGTGAAAGCACCAAGTCTTAACCACTGGACTGCCAGAGAATTCTGTCTGTTTGTTTTTTAGTAATAGCTTTATTGAGATATGATTTACATACCACACAATTCATCTACTTAATGTGTACCATTCAGTGGTTTTAGTATATTTACAGTGTTGTGCAGCTATCCCTACAATCAAGTTTAGAACTTTTTTGTAGATGATTTTTCAAGCCACAGGACTGGATAAGAGAGGAGCCTGAGGACAGAGCTCTGGGGCACTGTGTGGAGAGGTTGTGGAAGGGAGTGGGGACTGGAAGCCAAGAGGAGAAGGTGGTTCAAGAAGGAGGGAGCTATCACGAGGCACAGGCTGCTGACAAGGCAAGCAAGATGAGGATGGAACTGATCATTGGGTTTAGCCACGTGGACATGACCTGGACAGGAGCAGTTCAAGTGTCCTGGTGGGTGTGAAGGCCAGAACAGAGGGGGGCTGAATGAGAATGGGAGAAGAGGCACTGGAGACAGCTAGTGCAGGCACTTTGTCAAGGAGTAAAGAGGAGCAGAGAAGTGGGGCAGTTGCTGGAGGGAGTGTCAAATCAGTTAGTGCCTGAGGAGGGGAGAGGATATGGGACCAGTGTCTGAGGAGGGGAGAGGATATGGGACCTGGGGCACAGCTTGGCCTTTCCTAGAGCAGGAATTATTCATCCTGAGGAACAAGAGAAGGTGGCGATGAGACAGACATTGGCAGGTGGGAAGGTGTGGTAGGAGTTTATGGAAGTTCTCTTCCAATTTTAAAATATTTTCTTGGTGAAAAATGAAGCAAACCATCAGCTATACAAGTGAGGATGAGGTACTGGTGATGGAGGTTTGCGAAAAGGGCAGTTGGTAGGAGATAGTCATCTGGATGGAGTAGGAGAATGGATGTGGAGGGGCAGCGTCCTGAACTTGGCCCAGGGCTCATTTTGGCCTCTGTCCACCTGTCCAGCCTCTCCACCCACTCTCCTCTCTGCTGCACAGGTCATCCTTCAGATTTTAGACAACTTCAAGCACTGTTCCACTTTGTCTCTGTGCCAGGAACATCTTCCCTTTGCTGGTTGATGGGCCTGTGAGACATCTAAGTGGGGAGGAGCCAGGAGACAGGCTGGGTGGGAGGCTGAGAGGAGGGACTAGAGTGGGGGAACAACTTGGGATTCGTTGGTGTGTCCCGTCACGAAGCCAAGTCCCTGCTGTCTCCAAGCTTATGTTCTAGTGAGGGGTGAGGCAGTACATGAAGAAGGCAATATGTGTGTCTGGTGGAGAAAAAGAAAGCAGGTAAGGTGGCCAAGGAGGGAGTGGTCAGGAAAGGCCTTATCAAGAGGTGATGTATGAACAAAGACGTAAGTGTGAGGTGACTGGACTTGTGGAGGAAGAGCGGTCCAGGCAGAGGACATGGCAGGGCACAGACCCCGTGGCAGGATTGTGCTTAGCGTGGTGAGGAAGCTGGAGTGGAGTACATACAGGGATGGAGAGAAGGAAGGGGATGAGGGCTGAGAGGACCGGGGCTTGTTGGCCAATGGCAGGACTGGTGTGCATGCCAGGTGATAGGGGAGCTGTCAGGGGGTTTTGCACCGAGGGATGTGATCTGACTTGGGAGGTAACAGAGCCTCTGTTTGCCATGTGAAGAACAGCTCTGAGGGGCAGGGGAGGAAGCCATGACTGTGTAGGAGGCTTTAGCTGTCTTCTGTGCCAGGGATGAGTGACCTTCCTAGGGTCCAAGATTGGGCTGCTGATAGAGGAGGAGGCTGAGGGGAGTGGTGATTTCAAAATGAGAGGGTGTTGAAAGCTGCAGAGGTATTGGAGAAGAAATCTGAGTAGCACCTGCTGGATCTGACAAGGTGGGAGTTTTGCAGGGCTTCAGGAGAGCAACCTTGGTGGTCGAGTGGGATCAAGAGAGAAGAGGGCTGAAGAAGTAGTGATAGACAAGGGGGACACCTTTCTGCTGAGCGTTGCTGAGGAGGGTGGGTGCTCTGCTTTGACGAGGGGTACACCTGCAGGATTGTTGTGAGGCCACAGCTTGTGTGCAGTGGTCACTGGCCTTGAGGCCTAGGAGGCTGGCCCGACTGCTGGGCCATGGGTAGCGTGTGCTCCCTTGGGCCTTAGGCAAGGGGCACAGGGGTTTGGGTGCAGCACCAGCTTGGAACCACTGTCACAGAGATGTCCCCTTCTGTGGCGCTCAGCTCAGGCTTTTGCCAGGAGGCATGTCCCTACCCAAGCAACTTTGTTTTCAAGAGGGTCAGAGCTTCTCCAAGCATGGCACCATGGGGAGGAGGCTGGGATGCTCATCGCCTTACATCAGGGAGGTCCTTTCTTTGTAACTGGAGCTCTTCTAGTCAGTCTTCCTGTCCCCCGCTCCCTTTGCTTACCTCTCTCTCTGGCCTGGTCTTTTGGCTACCAGGTGTCACTCTGACAGCCAGAGTCAGTACTTGGGGGCAGGGGTGGTTTGGCCAGACCAGAGTGCTCTGGCCCAGGTTTGCCCCGGGAGCATGGGTCACCTGGCCCTCTCTTTGGGGTCCTCGGAATTCACTGCTGCTCCTGGGCTCAGGCAAGGCCTGACTGGATGATGGGAGACTCCCTGTGCTGTTCAGGTAACAGAGAAGTAGGATTGTTGGGGCCCAAACATCAAAGCAAGGTTGAAAAGGGAAAGATGAAAGAAACTTAACCTGTTGGGCAGTTACTGAGGTTGGAAAGAAGGAAGAAAGCTTATGGAAAGTGAGAAATGTGAGTCTGGGAGTTGGTCACCCGGAATGTCTGGGCTTGAAGGGCAGAAGGAAAGTTGGTGTAAACCTAAAAAAGCTGTCCTCTATGAAGAAATCTGGGTTGTTTTGTTTTGCTTTGTTTTCCCCTGGAATTGTCTTTTCAGAGGAGAGCTGAGGAGAGAGTTTTCTGCCTTGGGACATGAACGACCTGTGTCCCAGAACAGAAGCGAAACTGCTTCGCCAGAGTTGAGGCAGCCCTCAGGGAGTCTGGGAAGCTGGTTTTGATAGTCATTTATAGAAATCTTTCCCCCAAATCCCCTCAGTTAGTTCCACAGTTTCCCTAGGAGTCTTTGGGAATCTTTGTGGGGCTCTGTTAGCATGGACACAACGCAGGTTTAAGAATTTTCTTTGAGATTATCAGAAAACTGGACACCAGGATTCTCATGCAGATCACAACAGAGACCTGGGGTTGTGGGAAGGTGGGTGGAATGGGAGGATCTGGGTTCATGTGGCGTCATGGAGAGAGATGGAAGGCCTGAGCTCCTAAATATGCTCTTCCCTGACATGCTCCATTGTCTGGGGGCACCTGGTGAAGCCTGACCCTGGTGGCTGCCACCTCTGGGCCCAACAGAGTGGTGCGCAGTTTGGACTTTCTAATGGAAACTGTTCAGTTCAGAACTGTCCCTAGGACTTGAGATCTGACTTAAGCCCAGCCTTTCTCGGCTGTGAGCTGATCTCTCTGGCATCCCCCCACAGATCTCCCGATGACAGGGTGCAGCCCTGTGCTGGCCATGCGGCACGTCGTGGGTATGTCTCCCGTACTGGTGCGGAGAGGCCTCCTTGGAAGGGACCTCTTTATGACCAGGACTCTCTGCAGCCCAGGCCCCAGCCAGCCCAGAGAGAAAAGACCTGAGGAGGTGGCCCTCGGGCTGTACCACCGCCTCACAGCGCTGGGAGGAGCCCTGGGGCACAGCATTCAGCAACGGGCGTCCTCCATGGCCAAGACTTGGTGGGACAGATATGAAGAGTTTGTTGGACTCAGTGAGGTTCGAGAGGCCCAGGGAAACGTGACTGAGGTGAGGAGGGGAGCTGGGGTGGTTGGCCCTGCCCTCTGACTTGGGCAATGTGGCCTGGAGGCTCCTGACAAGTAAATTACCAGCCACAGATGCTGGGAGGCCACGTCCAGATTTGCCTTTTCTTGAACACATACCACTAGGAGAGGGATCTGACTCGTTTCTCACACGACAGCCTGGCTTTGATACTACCGGGGTGAAGGGCCCTCCTCTCCCCCATGTAAACAAGTTGTTGTGTATGCTATGTACCAGTGAGTCCCGGGCCATTAACATCCTTTCTGTGAGGACAGCAAGCACTTCCTTCATTGACTGCTTGGGGGTTGGTGGTGAGAGTTACCTGGCGGGTTGCTGCATTACAGTGTCCTCAAAGCCCCATGTGTGATTAAAGCATCCCTCGTGAAAGTAGAGGCCCTGGGAAACATCAGACTGTGAGGTGGGAAGAGCTGCCTCTGGTTGTCAAGTCCTTTGTGGCAGTGGAAATGCATTCCGCCATCTCTGTTCCCACTCCCACCTAGGCGCAGACCAGTGTAGTGGGGTGGGAAGAACCTGGGGTTTAGCCGGAGGTTTTGAGGCACAGTGCTGTCTCTCCCCTTGGAGGCCATCACTTTGGCTGAGCCGGGGTTTCTCTGTCTCTTGAATGGAGGCCAGGGCAATGCCTGTCATGGCGTTTGGCGTTGTTGGGAGGTTGTAGCTAAGGTAACACACATGAAGCCGATTAAGAACATAAGGGCCTTGCTCTGGTTTGTCAGACTAGAGTCAGCTGGGTTTGGTGGACACAGATTGTATGCATCTTTAGCTGTTTTCAGGTTTCTCAGGGGCATGTTATTTCCACTTGAACGGACAAATCCGGTGATTCTGATGGGCAGGGCCCGGGGCTACACTTTGAGGACCACTGGGTGAGCCAGGATTATGTGTCTGAGGGACTCTCTTTTCACCCTTTGTACTGACACCCCACTAACCTCTTCTCCGCCCAGTCTTGTTGGGAATGGAGCCGAGGCTGTGTGGGCATGGAGAGAAGGGGCAAATGGCCTCTGTTGTTCTCTCTGCAGGCAGAGAAAGTGTTCATGGTGGCTCGAGGGCTTGTCCGGGAGGCTCGGGAGGACTTGGAAGGTCAGCAGGCCAAGCTGAAGGAGGTGAGGGACCGCTTGGACCGCATCTCCAGAGACGATAACCAGTACCTGGAACTGGCTACTCTGGAGCACAGGATGTTGCAGGTAGGCCCCTTCCTCATCTGGAGAGGGACCCTAGCCTGGCAGGTCATGGAGGGGCGAGGTGGGAGCCCTGACTAGTTAGGGGGTCAGACACCTGGTGAGGAGGTAAACCAGAAGCCCCTGTGGAGGGACTGGGCCCCAGGCTTCCAGAGCTTCTCCACGCACTTCCTCCTGGAATACTGGGATCAGTGGTCCAGGACAGTATAATCTGGACCCCAGATTACTGAGGAGGGAGCACCATGCAGGGGTCTGGCCCAGAGAGCGCCGGACACTTCCCTTCTGTTAGACACATTCTGTAGACACCACTGCATGTCCGGCCAGACCCAAGACTGCTTGGGGAGGATAGTGCCACTCACCTTGACCACCCCCAGTTCCTTTGCTCCTCCCTCCTGACCAGGCTTATGCTACCTTTACTCATTCAACGTGTTTATGGAACATGTAATCTGTGCCAGACGTGAAGCTGAGCCCCAGGGACATGGTAGTGGGACATCTGCTGGCGGCTGCTGGGCCAGGTTGCTGCTATATGACAGCTTTGCTTCTGCAGGAGGAGAAGAGGCTTCGTATGACCTATCTGCGTGCCGAAGACTCCGAGCGAGAGAAGTTCTCCCTCTTCTCTGCAGCTGTGCGGGAAAGTCATGAGAAGGAGCGCACTCGGGCTGAGAGGACCAAGAACTGGTCCCTCATTGGGTCAGTCCTGGGGGCCTTGATTGGTGTGGCTGGCTCCACCTACGTGAACCGTGTGCGGCTACAGGAGCTGAAGGTCTTGCTTCTGGAGGCTCAGAAGGGGCCTGTGAGCCTCCAGGAAGCCATCCGAGAACAGGCATCCAGCTACTCCCTCCAGCAGAGGGACCTCCATGACCTCATGGCAGACCTGAGGGGCCTGGTGCAAGCTGGGCCTGGGCAGAGCTCTTTGTCCCAGGCAGGTACTTCCCCCACCCGAGACAGAGACACAGAGGTCCTTTCAGCTGCCTTGAGAGAGCAGCTCAGCCATTCCAGGCAGGTCCATTCATGTCTAGAGGGTTTACGAGAGCAGCTTGATGGCCTGGAAGAGACTTTGGGCCAAGTGGCTGGGGTGCTTCAGCTTGCAAAGGCTGCAGCGCACCCAGGCCTGGTGGAGCCGGCAGATGGGGCCCTGTCTGGGTCCTTGCTGGAACAGGGGAGCATGATCTTGGGGCTGTCAGACATGGAGCAGAGGCTAGAAGCCCAGGTCAACAGGAACACCATCTATGGCACACTGGTCACCTGCGTGACATTTGTGGCCATCCTGCCTGTGCTGTATATGCTGTTCAGGGCCAGCTAGCCCCTGGACCCACCTCCAGAGGGAGGAGGTATGGATGTGGATTTAGTTAGAGAATGAAGCAATGAAGTGAGCCTTCAGGGGTGCACTCAACCTCAGCCTGAGTCTGTGTGGCTCACCAGCAGACATACTTTGCTTTTTAGGCAACACTCATTTACATTAACTATCGAAAATTTGTGATAACGTCCAATTAAAGTGTCTTTAAGTTTGTCTTATTTAAAGTAATTTGTTAGACTGGGTTTTGCCCATTGAAAATTGAGATTTGGGACTTGAGGGTTGGGCCTGGAAGTAGGGTAATCGCCCCCTTTTAGTTCCTCTCTCATCTCTTGGTCTTGCCCCCAGTTCAGGATCATTTTGGATGTACTTACCGCTTGAGGCCTGGATTTTCATTTTGGATTTCCTGGCCTGTCCTCCACTTGCCCAGCCCTCCTGTGTCACGTGGCCCATGATTTCCAGTGAGTAAAACCTAGCCTGCTTCCCACCCATTGGTGACCATGGTTACTGCCCCTCTTCGGGATCACTTTCTCTGCCATGTTGGGGAGAACTTCCTGTTTCTAACACTGGAGGAATGATCAGAGGAGAGCAGGGAAGAGAGACTGGGGGAATGGTTGGTAAATATTGCTGGGGACATAATTACAGGGATTGGTGGCCAGTCTGGTTCCCTGGTGCAGAGAATGCTTTGGGCAGCACCACTTGGGCTGGTGTCGTCCCACACACAGCCTAGGGCTGACCTCTACAGCCTTGGGCAGAGTTCAGCCCACCAGCAGTGTGAATGGTGAGGCAGTGATGGGGAGGGACCTCCCAGAGGTGGGAGGTGCAGTTGGGGGGGCATGGAGGCAGAGTGCCCTGAGAACCCTTTACCTCTTCCTTTTCAGTGGAGAACAGCAACCTTTGACCTCCTGGGATAAATGGCCATGGGTGGCCTTGTGTGTCCTTGACTAAACAGGAGCAGTGGGGAGGCACTCGGCTTGCACTGTGGGTCTGGAGAACCCACCCTCTCAGGGTGCACTGAGGTTGTGTGCAGGGTCTGCAGGTAGGGGCTTCTGTGGGCTGGGCAGAGCTGACTCACAGCAGAGGCCTGTGGAGCCAGAAGTGCTTCCATGAGATGCCCTCCCTCTTGGGAGCCTGTGCTCAGGCCTGGGCAGTGGGCATGGCCCAAGTGGCCCCATGGGTGATGTGAACCTCTGAGCCCCTGGTCCCTTGATCATTTGGTCACTCTGTCCACAGCATTGTTTTCTTTTTGTAATGGATTCCCCAGGAGGGCGTGGGATGAAATGACCTCTGCACTTGGGATGTTCACCCTCCTGATGGGGAGGAGGTGACTTGTCTGTGTATAGGTGAGGGGTGTTGTGGGGTTTGGAAGTCCTAGGTCCCCCTCTGGGGTGACGTAGGTCCTAAAGGGTGTGCACTTGAGTGAATGGGTCTGGGGAGGGGAGGATTCCAGGCACATGGAGAGGGCCCCCCACAAGCTGCACAGCCAGGAGAGGCAAGGTGGGTGAGGGCCTTGAAGCACAGCAGCTTGGCTGAGGTGGTGATGGGTGTTGGGGAGTTGGGGAGCATAAAGTTAGGGAATGAAGTGGAGGACCCAGAGGGCCACGCTGATGTCCAGAGGCCAGGGACGAGGGAACCAGGGAAGGGGTGCCATCCTGGTGGGGACAAGGTGCTGAGTCATGGACCCAGGTGTTGGAAGAGAAGGTGGAGGGAAGGGAGCGAGCCGAGGAGTTGGGGAGGGAGAATTTGGAAGGCAGAGTCGGGTATATGAGAATGATGACTCTTGATGGGTGGCAGGTGGGAAGAGGGTGCCTGTGATTTAGCTCTTCTGACAGCAGCCAGTATGGATGACCAGAACCTTCTGATTGAGGCTCCCCCAAGCCCGTGGAGGCTCTGGGGGCTTCCAGAGTGATCTCTGTGTGACAAATTTTGCCTCCCAAGAGGCTGTCCCAATGGCCATGAGCCAAAGCTCTCCAGAAGTCCTAATAGGATGGACTAGGTCCTGGCTCCTGAGTTTTTGCAGTGGGCAGGGCAAGGTATGGAGGGCCCAGCAGAGGGCACACCTGGGCCTCAGGAGAGAACCCAAGTGTACCTCCTTTGGAAGGCCCAAGTATTTGCAGGTGAGGGAGTCCAGACTTGCCCAAGGCTTCTTAGCTTGGGGCGGGCCCAGGTACAGGTCTGGAAGGAAATGTGCCCTTGCTTGTGCACTTTTGCAGCGGTGTGCCCTCCTTTAACAGCCGGGCTAGGTGTGGTATCACCTCCACTTGGCGGTCAGCAAATAGGCGAGTGTGCTTGGGGGGCAGGGGTCAGGTTACTTGGCTTAGTGATGGCGCAAGCCCAGGCCCAACCCCACAGCCTGCGCTCTTCCCGCACAGCCAGAGGTGGGGGCCGGAAGGAGACGCCGGCTGTTTGGGAGTCCTGGGAGTAGAGCCGGTGGGCAGACCTGGTGCGGTGGGGAGAAACAAGGCGCCTAGGAGTTCAGGTTGGAGGAGGACGACCACAGGAACCAGGTATTGGACAGGTAAGAGGGAGCTCGCGGCGCCGCACAGCGGGGGTGGTGGTTAGCGAACAGGCGGGGCAGGTGAGGGGCGTGGGTCCCACCCGGCGCTGGCAGGCAGGTAGGCAGAGGCCGGGGCGCGGTGCAGAGCGCGACCCCCAGTCCGGGACCTCCCATCCCCAAGGCCTCCCAATTCCGGTTCCAGCGCGGCACGCAGGTGAGGCCCGGCGGGACTGGGCGGGGTGGGGCAGCTGGTCCTTGGGGCTCCCGCTCCTCACCCTCCTCCCGCCGCCGTCCGCGTTGCCCTGGCTACCGCCGTGGTGCAGCCCGCCCCCCCCGCCCCCCCCGCCCCCGCGAAGGAGGGGTGTAGTCCCCCGCCCTCGGCAAGTGCAGAGCCGGGCGGGCTGGAATGCGGGGTCCCGGGCGGCTTGGGGCCGCGCGCCTGGCTCTCCCGGCTGCTTCCGGCCTGGCCTGGGCGGCGGGCGGGGGGAGGGCGGCCCGGCGGGCGAGGGGGGGGAAGGAGCGGAGCCGGGCCCGGCCGACGCGGCTTTGTCTCCTTTGTTCCCAGCGGTGGCAGCGCCGCGGCGGGAGGGGCGGGCAGCGGCCGCAGTTTTCCGCCCCTCGGTCTCCGGGTAACAGCTGCGGCTCCGCCAGACCCACCTCCGGCGGGGGGGGGGGGGGGGGGAAGGCCGCCGCCGCCGCCGCCGCGCGCGCAGATCTCGAGCCCGGAACGGCCGGCGCCCGCCTCGGTGTGCTAGTCCTGCGGGGCCCGGCCGGGTGGTGAGTGCGGGGCCCGGGGCCGGGGCGGTGGGACCGGGGCGAGGCGGCGCATCCCCGGGATGGAAGGGCCTGGAGCTTCGATGCCGCCGGGCCTGGGCAGCCCGTGTGAATGGTGGTCGGCTTCGGTCCTGAGAGTTGGGACCATACTTCTCCGCGCGAAGGGAAACTCTGGCGGCTCCGCCTGTAACGCGATTGGGAGACAGAGGAGGTGGAGCTGCTCCTCCGCGCCCCCTCCTCGCCAACGCCGCCGCAGCCGCCTCGGCCCGGGACCGGCCGGCCTCTTCCCCGCCCTCCCAGGACCACTGGTGGGGTCCTTGCTCTGGTCGGGGAGGAGGGAGGAGGGTCGGGGAAAAGTCGACGGGGAGGTCGAGGCTTCCCCTACGTAGTAACAGCCCTTCCAGGCTGCGCTCGGCGCAACTGACAAAAGGCAGCCTGTGATCCCCCTGCCACGCACCCCCAGAGGGGAAGCCCCAGCCCCCCAACCGCCGTATATATACTGACGGTGGGTGACTGATGAGCACTCCTTGAGTCCTCACCGGTAAATGGTGGACCCTCACCCCCACCCCCACCCCCACCCCACCTCGACACAAACAACAGGGTAAGCACTGTGCACTCTTGCGCTGTCAATTAGTAACTTCTCTTGGGTGGACCCTGGGAGCAGAGCGAGGGCAGAAAGGAAAGGCCGGTTTCCCACTCTAATCCCCGCGACTCGGTAAATGAGGGCTGGGATATGAACCCTCTCCCAGTTTGAAGGGCAGAGTTTATAAGCCCTCTTGGTTGGTGAGGACAGCCCCAGGAGGGCGGGGAGAGGTGCTTGCTCTTTGCAGACAGAAGTTAGGCAGCCTTGGGCCCTGCTGAAGCGGTCCAGAGAAAGGTGGGCCCAGAAGAGCTAGGCTTTGGCTGTGACTCTGGCTGGGGTTTGAGATCTGGGGAATGGGCGAGAGATCCTAGCTGTGTAAGTTGGGGACCTGAGGCCCAGCTCCAAACCAGCCTTTTCAGCCTGCTCTGGCCTCGTCATTAATAAAAGTGGGGCTGACCCTGTGTCATCCTTCAAGAAGCCAGGTGGCTTGGAGAGGATTGTGGGTTCCATATCTCCCCTGTTGGCTGGGTTTTCTTGGCTGTGAAATGAGGGTTCTTTCAACATGTAAGGAGCACCTGCTCTGTGCTAACGTTTGTCCTGGTTACTGGAGCCTCTGAATCAAAAGTCACATTCCCTGCCTTTAAGGAGTTTCAAGAGTGGGAGTGTGGAACAAGGAGAAGAGTGGCCTTGGTTGGTGCCTCTAATGCCAGGCACACACCATATCACGTTTAATGGTCAGAGCAGTCCCGCCTCCCATTCTCCACATAGGAAACCTGAAGCTTAGAGAGCCCAAGGCAGAGCTGCAATATACACGAGGGTGGTGGCTGGGGATGTCCACTGGCCATGTGTAGTGGGCTCCTCAGGAGCATGGGGGGACAGGGAAGGCTTCCCTGGGAGGTGATGGTTGGGCACCAGAGTTAATGGGATAGAGAGGGAGTGGGCACGGAGGAGTGTGAAACAGCCTGCAGTTCAGGCTGGCAGGAACGAAGAGCATGTGCGGGGGAGCACTGGCATGGATCGCACAGGAGAGCATGTGGACTGGAGGGCTTGACCTTTATACTCCAGCCCCTGGGGTGCCCCAAAGACTCTGGAAGGAGGGATGTACTCCGATACATCGCTTGAAGTTCCCCTGAGGTGGGAGGGGGTAAGCTGGAGGGGCTGGGAGCTGCTCTATGGCCGGTGGCAGAGGTTAAGTGAAATATGTGCCCTTCTTCTTTTTGTCCTCCTCCTACCCATGGTATGTGGGGAAGGGCGAGGGTTGCTCGGCCCTGTGGCAGTGATTGAAGAAGCCTGACACTTTTCCCAGCGTGAGTCGGTCTCCAGTATCCTATGTGGCCTTGCCAGGAGCTGTTCTGATCCTGCCCATCCGCTTCCTGTGGGCCACTCGACCCAGCTGGGATTTTACATTTAGGGATTGTCCCGGTTGCTGCCCTTTGAGGGCTGGAGAACTTTGGCTTGAAGTAGGCGCTGAGCAAATGTTTGTAAGCGAATGCTGGGTCAGACCCTCTGCCCAAGGCACATCCCTAGGCGGGAGGTGGTAGGAGGGACTGAGCAGTGGCTGAGCATGGGAGATGGCCTCTGCCCATCCTCAGGCAGACCCTGTCTTCCCAGAGGAAGAAACTTTCTCCCCCCATCCCTTGGAAACAAGGTGGGGGGTTCCTGGGAAGCCTGGCCTTGCCACAGTCCTGGCCTTGCCACAGTCCTGGGCTTCTCGCCGGGTTCACGACTCTCCTCCTACCCCCTCAGTGGCAAACAGAGGCTGCCTTGTTCCTGCTCCCATAGAGCTGCCCTGTTCTCTGCACACTAAAAATGGAAACCCCCAAGCTATTTTGGGAGCACTGCCCAGCCAGGCCGTGGCCACAGTACACTGCTTCCACCGGGCTGCTGGACCCTCCTCCAAGCCTACGCCCAGCCCTGCTCACTCTGGGCCAGCCTCAGGAGCACCCTGCCGGGAGCCTTGGCTGGAAGGAGCCAACCTGGACCCTGGGAAGCTCTGGGAACAGAGTGAACAGGCAGACTGGCAGCTGGGTGGTGGGAGGGGCTGGGCCATGCCGCCTGGGCACAGGCAAGTAGGGGAAGTGTCTCAGCTTGGGATGCATGCCCTGTCCTCTGTGCTTTACCAATCTTGGTGCTCCTGGCTGGAGACCATCCAGGTCTGGGAAAGGTGGCTGGTGTCACCTGGCTTCAGGTGGAGCCTGCAAGGATGGGTCTGTGAGGAGAGCAGGCACTCAAGGTCTGCGAAGGTCCTGGGGATGTGGGGCACATCTAGTCTGGTGACTTCCTTTAGGACAATCCCCCCTGCCCCCCACCCTCCAGCCCTGCTCTGCTCTGCCCTGCAGGAGAGGAGATAGCAAGAGATGGCCTGGCTTCTGCAGCCCTCTAGGACTTAGGGCTCAAACCAGGGAAGTGTGCGTGAGTCTGTGTGTGTGGGGTCTGAAAGTGGGTGGTGGTGTGTATGTCTTGGGTGGGTGGGTGCATGTGATGTGCCTGTGTGGAGTGCATGTTTCTTTGTGTAAAAAGTTTGTCTCTGGATGTGTCTTTGTGCAGGTGTCTAAGTGCAGGTGGGTAGCGTGTCTGTGTGGGACGTTTGCCTGTATTTCTGGGCATGTGTCTCCGTGCGCTATGCACAGGCAGTATGTGCATGCATCTGTGTGTGTGCTCGTGCCCATGTGTTTGTGTGTAGGTGTGTGCATCCAGGGTGGGTGGTATGTATGCTTCTTGGTGTGTGCGAGCATGTGTCTGCTTATGTGCTGGTGGTGGTTTGGGCCTAGGCTAGCCCCGGGCCTGTGTGGAGGGTATGTACCAGGGTACCCTGACAGGGAAGAGTTTGGGCAGAGGATGAGGATGGGAGAGTGCCGAGAACGGGCTGCAGGGGGCACAGGACTAAAGTGGGGGCCTGACTGGGCCCTGCCAGCCGCGCAGCTCCTTCCTAGCTGCCCTTTCCCAGGCCCTGAGGGTGCTTGGTTCTGCTGCCCTCCCCCTCTGTGGGCTCTGAGGAGGCGTCCCTGTGGAATGTGTTTGGTGGCCGAGGGCCAGGCTGGGCCCAGCTCCACCAGCAGACTGGGCAGCCGGGAGAGGTACCTTTGTGCTGCCTCCATGGTGGGGAGCCCAAATGCCTGCAGCCCAACCCCCAGCTTCATGCTCTGCTTTCTCCCTGGCTAGGTGACTCTCACACGGGGCATGCTGTTGTCTCCTGATCCAGCTGGCCTTGCCAGGTGAGCCTGACCTCCTCACACCTAGGTGTCTGGGAGCAGTGTGACTCCCACCTCTGCTGAGGGCTCTCCAAGGTGGGGTCTAGCTAGCCTTTTAGGCCCTATCCCTGGCAGCCTTTTTTTTAAAAAAATTATTTATTTTGGCTGTGTTTGGTCTTCGTTGCTGCGCGCGGGCTTCCTCTAGTTGCGGAGAGCAGGGGCTACTCTTTGTTGCGGTGCGCAGCCTTCTCACTGCAGTTGCTTCTCTTGTTGCGGAGCACGGGCTCTAGGCACGCGGGCTTCAGTAGTTGTGGCATGTGGGCTCAGTAGTTGTGGCTCGCGGGCTCTAGAGCGCAGGCTCAGTAGTTATGGCGCACGGGCTTAGTTGCTCTGCGGCCTGTGGGGTCTTCCCGGACCAGGGCTCGAACCCGCGTCCCCTGCATTGGCAGGCGGATTCTTAACCACCGAGCCACCAGGGAAGCCCTCCCTGGCAGCCTTAACCCCCCTCATCTCTCTGGCCCTTTGGTTCTGTGGTTATTACCCTTCTGGATTCCTAGCCTGAAAGGCCCTTCATCCAATTCTTACCCTACTCTAACATGCAGGTGGCCCATGAGACCTTGCCCTCCCTTTTTCTGCCCAGGAAACTGACATCCATGCAGAGGGTGCCTTTCTCTCTTTGGGGTTCTGGGTCCCTTCTTCCCATCCCTTGCCCTCCTGCCCCTTCCAGGCCCTCGTCCCTGGGAATGGGATGTTTCCCATGTCTCTGCCCCTTTAGCCTCTTACCCTTGGACCCTGTTATGACATAGGGCAGGGCAGGGTGAGGGGTGTGGGGTGCAGGTCTCCTGAGAGAGTAGTGCTTACAGAGAATGGGCAGCGTTGAAGTTTCCAGGAAAATGTCTCCTGACCCCTTGCTAGTGTGTGGTCCTGGGGTCATCCTAACCACAGTGCCATCTAAGCCTGGTCCTCCCTGCTCCCCCCTCCCTGAGTTAGGAGGGGCGTCTTGGCAGCATCACAGTCCTACTCCTCACCAGTGGTCCCACGGTGCTCACGCGGCCACATGAGCCCCGCTCAACCTCTCTCCCTACCAGGTGACCATGCCTGCCCTCGGCCCAGCTCTTCTCCAGGCACTCTGGGCCGGGTGGGTCCTCACCCTCCAGCCCCCTCCACCGACTGCTTTCACTCCCAATGGTACGCATCTGCAGCACCTGGCGCGGGATCCCACCTCAGGCACCCTCTACCTAGGAGCCACCAACTTCCTGTTCCAGCTGAGCCCTGAACTGCAGCTGGAGGCCACTGTGTCCACTGGCCCTGTGCTAGACAGCAGGGACTGTCTGCCACCTGTGACACCTGATGAGTGCCCTCAGGCCCAGCCCACCAACAACCCAAACCAGCTGCTCCTGGTGAGCCCTGGGGCCCTGGTGGTGTGTGGCAGTGTGCACCAGGGGGTCTGTGAACAGCGGCGCCTGGGGCAGCTCGGGCAGCTGTTGCTGCGGCCAGAGCGACCTGGGGACACCCAGTATGTGGCTGCCAACGACCCTGCCGTCACCACGGTGGGACTGGTGGCCCAGGGCTTGGCTGGGGAGCCCCTCCTCTTTGTGGGGCGGGGCTACACCAGCAGGGGTGTGGGGGGAGGCATCCCTCCCATCACTACCCGCGCCTTAAGGCCGCTGGACCCCCAGGCTGCCTTCTCTTACGAGGAGACGGCCAAGCTAGCTGTGGGCCGCCTCTCCGAGTACAGCCACCACTTTGTGAGCGCCTTTGCACGCGGGGCCAGTGCCTACTTCCTGTTTCTCCGGCGGGACCTGCAAGCTCAGTCTCGAGCTTTCCGTGCCTATGTGTCCCGTGTGTGCCTCCGGGACCAGCACTACTACTCCTACGTGGAGTTGCCTCTGGCCTGTCAGGGGAGCCGCTATGGGCTGATCCAGGCTGCGGCTGTCGCCATGTCCGCGGAGGTGGCCCGGGGGGAGGTGCTCTTTGCAGCCTTCTCCTCGGCCGCTCCCCCCACTGTGGGCCGGCCCCCGTTGGCAGCTGCCGGGGCATCTGGAGCCTCTGCCCTCTGTGCCTTCCCTCTGGATGAGGTGGATCGCCTTGCTAATCGCACACGTGATGCCTGCTACACTCGGGAGGGCCGCGCTGAGGATGGGGCCGAGGTGGCCTACATTGAGTATGATGTCAATTCCGACTGTGCTCAGCTGCCCGTGGTGAGTCCTGGCACCGCCCAGCCCTTCCCTGTCTCTGAGGCCACTGGCCAGGCATTTACTGATCAGGTCAATGGATGTTAAGTGATTCCTTTGTGTCTGGGTGATGGATGGGTACCTTATGGTAAGAGTGGCATTCAGGGAGACAGAGAGCCAGCTGTGCAGGGGTGGGTTTGGACCAGGCGCTGAAGGGATGGCATTTGTGTAGGTGGACTGAAAGGGCATTTGAGGTTCTTGGGAATGGGGCAGGGACCCAGAATGTAGAGGGGATGGAATCTATTGTTTTAGGTTCTTGAGCGAGAGAGGCAGGTGAGGTTGAGACTTGTTTGGCTCTAGTCTCAGGATGGATGAAAAGGGTAGAAGCCACATATAGGGGGACTGAGTCAGTGAGAGGTGGGAGGAGACCCAGGTTAGTAGACCTGGAGAGGAGGATGCAAGCTGGAGAGGCTTTGGAAAAGTGGTCCAGGAGAAGGCTGAGTACATGAACTGGGGGAAGCAGCTCCCAGGCCAGGGATGGGAGAAAGTGGGGCCCCAGGCATGTGGGGATCAAAAGAGGGGGTCGGAGCCGCTGCAGACTGTGGAGGTAAGCCACTGAGGCAAGGCTAAGAACGCAGCTGTGGGAGAGCCAAGAGCTGGCAGAGATGGTGAGAAGGGGTGGGGTTGTCCAGGGAGGAGGGGCCAGTGGACGTTATCCAGGGAGGGCCTTATTTGTGCTTCTTGCTGCCTGCAGGACACCCTGGATGCTTACCCTTGTGGCTCAGACCACACGCCCAGCCCCATGGCCAGCCGTGTCCCCCTGGAAGCCACGCCAGTTCTGGAGTGGCCAGGGGTTCAGCTAACAGCCGTGGCGATCACTGTGGAAGATGGACACACCATTGCTTTCCTGGGTGACAGTCAAGGGCAGCTGCATAAGGTGAGTCCACAGGAGGTACTGGGCCCTGCCCCAGGATCTGGAGGCGACAGGCTGCTGGGGACCCAGGCTGGGCAGAGCTACGCCTGAGACCCCTGGGGCTGCGATGTGAGATATGTGATGTGCCCCTGGCCCTGGCTGGGAGAGATGACCTGTGTTCCTCTTTCTGGGGACGGGTGGTGTGACCTGTACTCTCTAGGAGGAAATTCTGTAAATTATTTTATTGGGGCGAGAGGGGAGGGCCTTGGGCCTCAGATCTTGTGGTCTCTGATCTCAGGTCTACTTGGGCCCAGGGAGTGATGGCCACCCGTACTCCACACGGATCATCCAGCAGGGGTCTGCGGTGAGCAGAGACCTCATCTTTGATGGGGCCTTCGAGCACCTGTACGTCATGACCCAGAGCACGGTGAGTGCCACGCGCCAGCCAGGGAGGGCCTGACTGCTGGGAGGGGCCTCGGGGGAGCTGGGGGCCCATGTGTGGAGAGCCACTGGTGCTTGGATTGTTGACCTCAAGTCCTCTTTGCTGCTGTAGCTTCTCAAGGTTCCTGTGGCCTCCTGTGCTCAGCACCTGGACTGTGCATCTTGCCTGGCTCACAGGGACCCGTACTGTGGGTGGTGTGTGCTCCTCGGCAGGTCAGCGCTCCCCCGACCCTGGCCCCTTCCCCAGCCCCACCCCAACCCCAGCCTCATGCCCTCAATTCTCCTGCCCTGTCCAGGGTTCCTGGTCCTTGGCCCTTGACTCTCAACCCTTGACCCCTGGATGCCCCAACGCCCTACTCTCACCCCTATCCTCCACCCTGACTTGCCAGGCCTGTCGTGGCCCACTTGAGGATCCTGCCCAGGTCCGTAGGATTGTAGGTGTCCCTGCCCCATGAACTGCCAGTGGCCCCGTGAGGGTCACAGGTGGACACTGGTCATTCTTGCCCAGGTGCAGTCGCCATTCCGAGTGCTCTCGGGGCCAGGGCTTAGAGCGGTGGCTGTGGAGCTTCCAGCCTGAGGTGGGCTGTCTGCAAGTGGCAACCTTGAGTCCTGCTAACATCAGCCGTGAGGAGAGGAGGGAGGTGAAGACCAGAGCAGGCGGAGTCCTGGCCGGGGGGAGCTCTGGTGATGGGTTGCAACCTTGAATTTTAAGTACCACATGGCCTTGCCCAAGTCGCTTCTCTTGGGGCTCCGCTTTCTCCATCTGTTACTAACCCAGGCTGGAGGGTATTTGTGGTCACTGGGGGCTGGTGGCCGCTGGTGCCTGCCCACATTGGAAGCCTGTAAACGGAGCCCTGATCTGTTGCCCAGTGGCTCCAACAGCATGTCCTGGCCTCTCTTCGCAGGTTTTCTTGTCGGTACCCGATCTGCCACCCCTGTGGCCAGGGGAGTCTTATTCCTGCCACTTCGGGGAATACCAGAGTCCTGCCCTGCTGACCAGTTCTGGTGTGATGTGCCCCTCCCCAGACCCTAGTGAGGCTCCAGAGCTGCCGAGAGAAGCTGGTGGGTGAGAGAAGGAGCCAGCCCGGGGCCTGGGAGCCCCGCTCTCCTCCCATCTTGCTCCAAGGGGTGTGATCAGGATGAGGTGTGAATCCAGGCAAAGGGTCCTGCAGCGATGCCTTTCTCTGAGGTCCCCTCTGGTCCCCAATCCCTGAAGTCCCTGTTTTCTACCCTGTGGACTGTGTTCCTGACCCTGGGCACCCCTTCCTGGTCAGAGTGCTAAACCCACCCTGTGTGGTCTGGGACGTCAGCTCGGGGTCTGAGTGCCCCTTCCTGCTCCTCAGCCCAGCTCGCTCCTCCCTCTGCAGACCACGTCTCCGTGAGCCTGGAGCTCAGGTTTGGCACCGTCGTGATTGCCGAGGCTTCCCTCTCCTTCTATGACTGCACGGCTGTCACCTTGCTCCGCCCGTCTGCACAGTGAGTTCCTCACCCCGACCCCCAGCCCCTGGGCTGCCCTGTGGCGATCCGCACCCCATGGCTGTGCTCTGTGCAGGTGCCAGGCCTGCGTGAGAAGCCTCTGGGGGTGTAACTGGTGCGTCTGGCAGCACCTGTGCACGCACAAGGCCTTGTGTGATGCTGGGCCCATGGTGGTCAGCCGACAGGTGAGCCCAACTCCCGACCGGGCCCCAGGGGGGGTTCGGGCTCCCCATTGTGAGGGTTTCTCTCATGGCCTGGGGTCTGTGTGTCTGCCTGCCCCGGGTGCTCTGTCGTGAGCACCTGAGCTGCTGTGTGTGACGGACTCACTGGAGGACGGCTGTCAACGTCCCACCTGTTTCGGGAGAGGACGTTTGTAGCTGAGAGGAGGGGAGGTCTGGCCTCGTGCCCCACCTTGGCACAGATGCCATAGACGCCCCTAGAGCGCGCCCTCCCCTTCCCCTCTGGAGAATTAATGGGCTGTTTTTGTTTCTCTTTTCCTTGGTCTCCTTTTCTCTTAACACACCCTTTGCCTGCCTGCTGCCCGCTCCCGCACCTGCCTGCTGAGTGGCCCTTCCTGTCTTTCTCTGCCTCCCCCTTCAGAGCCCGCCCCTCTCCCCAGCCCCTCCTGCAAGAGACGCACCCACCTCCTTCCCACCCACAGCCCCCAGGGCCACGGTCGCCCTGACTCTTGACGCCCTTCCTGTGGACACTCCTTCCATAGCCACAGCCTTGGATGTCCCCCCCGGGGCCAGGCCTTCCCTGCTCAGCCCCCGGGGGCCGTGGGCAGGTCCCGGCCCCACACCTGCCTCGGCTTCCACGGGCTCACCTCTCCACAAGGCCCCTCCTCCTCCCAGCCCCCGCCAGAGGCCTGGAACCGCTGTCCCTGCCCCTACAGCCTTCGGACCCATGGCCACCGCCGAGGACCTCTTGGCCTCCCACCCATCGCCCTCAGATGCAGCAGCACTGCCCCCCGCCCTTGCAGAGCCTGGCCCCGAGGCTCTCCCCTCTGCGGTACCCCTGGACCAGCCCCCCAGCACGGCTCCCGCCACCACTTTCCCAGGGGCCGCTGGCTCCACGAAGCCTGCTCTGGACTGGCTCATGAGAGAAGGCGGCGAGCTGCCCGAGGCGGATGAGTGGACAGGGGGTGACACGCCCGCCTTCTCCACTTCCACCCTCCTCTCAGGTGATGGAGACTCTGCTGAGCACGAGGGCCCTCCCGCCCCCCTCATCCTCCTGTCCAGCCTTGACTACCAGTACGACACCCCTGGGCTCTGGGAGCTGGTGAGACCCGGCCCAGGAAGGAGGCCTCAGGGGAGGGGATTGGGACAGATGCAGCCTCTTGGCCACCTTGCGATTCTGCAGGGGAAGGATGGAGGGGAGGGGGGCGTCTGCTGCCTCACGCTGGCCTGGCCCTGGGGTTGTGCCTGGGAAAGGGATGAGGCGGCAGGTGGGCTCCATAGACTGCCTGGCGCTTGGTGCCTGCAGGAGGAGATGACCTTGGGGGCAGGCTCCTGCCCTTGTGTGGAGAGTGTGCAGGGCTCCAGCCTGATGCCGGTCCACGTGCAGCGAGAAGTGCGACTGCTGGGCAGGAACCTGCGCCTCTTCCAGGTGAGTGTGTCCTCTTTGCAGCTGTTGCTGTGGCCTCCTTGGCTGTTGGCAAACTATGCGCGAGTCCTGGGGAGCAGGGGAGGGCACGGCCTCAGGTCTCAGTCCCAACCCGGGGACTGTGCTGGGGCCCTGTGGGGCTCACCAGGCCTGGCTTCTGAAGCTGCCCCCGTAGCCGTGTCCTCTGTCCCCAGGACAGCCCAGGAGACCATGAGTGTGTGATGGAGCTGGAGGGCCACGAGGTGGTGGTTGAGGCCCGGGTCGAATGCGAGCTGCCTCCAGATACCCGGTGCCATGTCACCTGCCAGCAGCACCAGGTACAGATCCCGAGTCCTGGGTGGGCAAGGGCACGCTAGCCACAGGCTGGCTACCAAGCTTAGCTGGCTGCACCGCACTCATCCCAGCCCATTCTCTGACTGAGTGACCCCGAGGGAGTCGTAGTACCCCAGCTCTGACCTCTGACCTTGTGCCCCATGGGGTCCTGTATCCCAGCTCTGGCCTCTGGCTTTGTGTTCCCATGAGTCATTTTGGTCCTTTCTCTGACCACCGTCTCCCCAGGCCTGACGCCTCCCCTAACCCTGGGCTCTGACCCCACTCCCATTTCTCCAGCTCAGCTATGAGGCTCTACAGCCAGAGCTCCGCGTGGGGCTGTTTCTGCGTCGGGCTGGCCATTTGCGTGTGGACAGTGTGGATGGGCTGCACGGTGAGTGACCCGGGGCTGCTGGGACTGGCTGGTGGCAACAGGGCTCTTCCTGGCCTGCCTCTCACATTCGTCTCTCCGCCCCCAGTGGTGCTGTATGATTGTTCCGTGGGACACGAGGACTGCAGCCGCTGCCAAACTGCCATGCCCCAGTACGGCTGTGTGTGGTGCAAGGGGAAGCATCCACGCTGTGTGGCCCAGGAGGCCTGTGGCGAGGCTGAGGCTGTGGTCACCCAGTGCCCAGCACCCCTCATCCACTCGGTGTGTTGAAATGCTGGAGCATCCCTTCAAGGGGTTCGGGGTGCTATGGGTTCAGTGTCCCAAAAGGTGGGAGGCTGGGGCTGTCTCTCCAGGCTGCCAAAGGACAACAGGTGCGTGGAGGTGAGCCATCCTTGTCCTGGAACAGGTGGAGCCACTGACTGGGCCTGTAGACGGAGGCACCCGTGTCACCATCAGGGGCTCCAACCTGGGCCAACACGTGCAGGACGTGCAGGACACGGTCAGGGTGGCTGGAGTGCCCTGTGCTGTGGACGCTCAGGAGTACGAGGTGTCCAGCAGGTGAGTGGGCTGGACTGACAGGAGCAGGGGGCACCCCGCGGGCTTCACAGCTGGCTTTCCTGCTTAGGGCCATCCACCCACTACTCGTCTGCCCTCCCCCTCCCCCTTTCCTTGGTTCTGATCACAGTGTCTCAGGGCTGGGGTTACTATCAAGGCCTTGGCTTTGTGCACAGACCTGCAGGTTTCTGGCCTGGGTCTAGTCACTGCTCAGAGCTGACAGGCGGCTCTGCTTCCTGGCACTGCCTAGGTGTGCTCACCCGGCTTTCCAAGTGACCACGGGCATAGTTGTGGTAGCAGGCTCCTTGGATCCCAGACAGCTGTGCTCTGCGGCTGACCTTCCCACCTGCTGACCCTTCTTCCCCAAGCACTGCCCTGGGCAGGCTCCTCACGGGGATAGACTTATGACACACCTGCTGAGTGTCAGGCCCCTCTGTCCAGTCCCTGGGACCCCTCCCACTTTCCCAGGGCTTGTGGCTTACAAGGCTGGCAGTTGCAGGGTCCCAAATGTGCACACGCAGAACACAGCGAAGGAGACATCCACAAGCAGCAGGTCTCCAACCCGCCGAATGTCAGGGTTACCTGGAGAGTTGGTTCACAACCCCCCAGAGCAGGTCCTTAGACCACCTCCCTCCACTTCCTGCAGAGGTCTGGATCTGTAGGCCCGTGTTGGGGTCCCACAGTCTTATTTTCTTTCTTTTAAAAAATGTATTTATTTATTTATTTTTGGCTGTATTGGGTCTTTGTTGCTACGTGCAGGCTTTCTCTAGTTGCGGCGAGCGGGGGCTACTCTCTGTTGCGGTGCGCGGGCTTCTCATTGCGGTGGCTTCTCTTGTTGCGGAGCTCGGGCTCTAGGCGCGTGGGCTTCAGTAGTTGTGGCATGCGGGCTCTAGAGTGCAGGCTCAGTACAGGCTTAGTTGCTCTGTGGCATGTGGGATCTTCCCGGACGAGGGCTTGAACCCATGTCCCCGGCATTGGCAGGCGGATTCTTAACCACTGCACCACCAGGCAAGTACCCTGCAGTCTTATTTTCAACAAGACTCTGCTAGAGCATGTTGTTTCCCCCCTGAATGTATTATGACTGAGAACTTTAGGTGAGTGTTAATGATTCTAGAACCGTGAGACTAAAGTACTTTCTGAACTGATTTATAAAGTGATTAAAATACATTCCAGCTGAAGCCTCTCCCGGGTAGTTCACACTTCGCTTGTTCTGTTTTCTCGGGGTGTTTGCAGTGACCGTGACAATGTCACAAAGAGTCGAACCACTGCAGGCTTCACATTCTGGAGATTAATTTGCCCCAAGCTTCTGTTTCCTGGCTAAGAACCAGCATTTCTTAGATTGCTCACTTTCCCTTCACGTCCATCCCCAGACCTGACTAGAGGCTTTCGGGAACGTTTTTTCATGAGGAAATCAAGTTTCCACCACCTTGTAACTGGTGCTGTGCCCACGGTGATGGTGGCCGGTTAGGCCCACTCATTAGCTCAGCAACCCACCCCTGCCACCAGCCTTACCAGGGCTGGTGCCCCACAGAGAGAGAAATTCTCCTTGTCAGGGGCCTCTGGGGGTGGACTTGAATGATTGAACCACAGATATTAATTCTCAGAGGCCAAAGCCTCCTGGTGAGTCATTAAGGAATTCCTTCCAAAGCAAGAGGATCTCCGTCAATCTTGGGAGCCAGGAAGAACACGTGATGTAGTGGGGCAGGGAGGGGGCGGCCGGGTCAGTTTGAAGGGCCCTTAGTGTGGCCCAGCACCCCAGCTTGCCCTGTGCCCACAGCCTTGTGTGTATCACTGGGGCCAGCGGGGAGGAGGTGGCAGGCGCTGTGACGGTGGAGGTGCCAGGAAGAGGACGCGGCGTCTCAGAGCATGAGTTTGCCTACCAGGTGCCTGACTATTGAGTCCCCACCAGCTACCCATGGGCCACCCCCTTAGGTGGCTCCTCCCAGCCCATTGGTTCACCTCCCTGGGGCTCCCCACCCCAGGGCCTCCTTGTCTGCTCCCCCTGCCTCCCTGTTCTTGGCCTGATGCCTGTCTGTTTCTCCCTGTCCCCTTCCCACAGGACCCAAAGGTGCATTCCATCTTCCCGGCCCGAGGCCCCAGAGCCGGGGGCACCAACCTCACCCTGCATGGCTCCAAGCTTCTGACCGGGCGGCTGGAGGACATCCGAGTGGTAGTTGGAGACCAGCCTTGTCACCTGTGAGGGACGCTTCCTCATTCTGCAAAAATCCTTGAGCTCCGGGGAGAAGATGGAGGGGTGGGATACTAGGGAGAGCAGAAATGGGGAGAGGGCCAAGTCTGCTCCATCAAAAAGTGGCCAGCCCCTCTCGAAGCTGGGGCTTTCTTGGGAGTGCAGCCTCCAGGGTCACTTGTGGAGACTGCAATCAGCACTGAAGGGGGAAGTGAGCTGTGGCCCGAGTGGGTCCTGTGTCCTGGAATCACCCCTTTCCCCTTCCTGTGCCCCTCTGGCCCAGTCGGGCCTGCCTGCCACTTCTCCCTCCCTTCTCAGGCTGCTGGAGCAGCAGGCGGAGCAACTGCGGTGTGAGACCAGCCCACACCCCACGCCTGCCACACTCCCCGTGGCTGTGTGGTTTGGGGCTGCTGAGCGGAGGCTTCATCACAGCCAGTTCGAGTACACATCAGATCCCAATGTCACCTCTGCTGGCCCCGCCAAGAGCTTCCTCAGGTGCTGGGCCGAGGGCATGGCTGCATGGCATGCGGTTGGGAGGTCTTTGCAGCTCCAGTATATGGGGGTTTGTAGGGCTCTATGTGGGGGGCTTCGACTCCTATGCTGCTGGTGGGGAGAGGGGCCGTGGGGCTTTGGGTTGGAGCTGACCTAACATCAGGGACTGGGCTGTGCTTTAAAGCCTTGTTCACATAAGCCATAAGTGGCTCATGGGCTGTGTTTTCAGTGGAGGACGTGAGATATGGGTCCGTGGCCAGAATTTGGACGTGGTGCAGACACCAAGAATCCGAGTGACTGTGGCCACGAGAGCGCCAGGACCAGGCCAGGGGCTTGGGTGGAGGCACCGCGTGATCCCAGAGACGGCGTGCTCCCCCGGAGCCTCCTGTGGCGGCCTGCACGTAGGAGCCCCAAGGGCATCCCCTGCCTGCACTGGGCTAGCCATCGCCCACCTTGCCCCTCATCCCTCCCCCACCCCTAGACAGCTGTGGGTGGCGGGTACCAGTGGAGGCTATGTCCCCATCTTTGCTGGACGCCCCCCTTGTGCACCCTCAGCAGGCCCTCCCTGTCCTCCCTCCCTCTGCCCTAGTTTGAGGAGCCTTGCCACGTGAACAACTCCCAGCTCATCACGTGCCGCACGCCGGCCCTCCCAGGCCTGCCTGAGGACCCCTGGGTCCGTGTGGAATTCATCCTTGAAAACCTGGTCTTTGACTTTGCAACACTGAACCCCACACCCTTCTCCTATGAGGCCGACCCCACTCTGCAGCCGCTCAACCCCGAGGACCCCACCGCACCATTCCGGCACAAGCCTGGGAGTGTGCTCTCTGTGGAGGTACTGCTCCTAGTGGGATCTGGCAGGGCCCCAAGACCCTTCACTTTGCCGGATGGTACTGCTGTGTGGGGCACAGGGGGCATGACTGCAAAGTAAGGGCCAGTGGATGGACATGGCGAGTGCTGAGGGGGCTGGCGGCGGGGTGCCTAGCCAGACACACCTGGCCGGGGCTTAGGTCCTGTGGTCTGGGTCCTGACATACCCTATGGTAGGTCTCTGAATAACGATACGTAAATAGTTTGGCACACGCAGTGGCGGCGAGGTACACAGTAGGCGCCTGGGCTGACGCCCATTTGGCAGCTGTCTCGTGTGGACACATACTTGGCGTGTGTACTGACACACGCAGTAGCAGGGGCTCTGCTTTGTAAGGTCACTGCGTAGGATTTGGGGACAGCTTTATATTCTCCAGATTTTTAGCTCCGGAGAAGTTAAGACTCAAGGAAGAAGGATCGGGAGGGGCAGAAAAGGATCAGGGGGCAGCTTGGGAAACATCCATGGGGCTGTCACCCCACGTGCAGGACAAGAGGTGCTGAGGCACCATCAGCCCTGCTCCTGGGGGTGGGTCTCAGGACCATCCGTCTCACATTTGGGGAGATAGGATCTGAGTGGCCATCAGCTCCTCCCCTCAAGGAAGAGTTCTGAATGATCAATCCGTGACCCCATGTTCCAGGGGGAGAATCTGGACCTTGCAATGTCCAAGGAGGAGGTGGTGGCCATGATAGGGGACGGCCCCTGCATGGTGAAGACGCTGACCCGGCACCACCTGTACTGCGAGCCCCCCGTGGAGCAGCCCCTACCCCGGCACCATGCCCTCCGGGAGGTGCCTGATGCTTTGCCTGAGTTCACGGTCAGTGGGCAGGCTCTGGGCCGGGGCAGGCATCGGGCGTGCGCTGACCTCTTGCTCACATGTGGCTCCCTGTGCAGGTGCAGATGGGGAACCTACGCTTCTCCTTGGGCCACGTGCAGTACGATGGCGAGAGCCCTGTGGCTTTCCCCATGGCAGCCCAGGTGGGCTTGGGGGTGGGCACCTCTCTTCTGGCTCTGGGTGTCATCATCATTGTCCTCATGTACAGGTGGGTGCAGCCAGATGCGGCTGGGTTGGGCAGGTAGTAGGTGTGGCTGGATTGGGAAGGGGTAGACTAGACCAGGGATAGGCAAACACTTCCTATAAAGGGCAGGAGAGTAACTATTTCAGGCTTTGTGGGCCAGGCTGTCTGGGTGGCAGTGACTCAGCTCCGCTATTATAGCCCAGCGGCAGCCACGGACAACATATAAACACATGAGCATGGCTGTGTTCCAACAAATCTTTATTTACAAAAACAGGCCAGGGGCCAGATTTGGCCGTGTTATAGTTTGCTGATCCCTGGGCTAGATGAGTCGTGGGTGGGTGTGACTTGCCTGGGATGGGACAGGCTGAATTATTCTGACTAGGCCCTGGCTTGGCTGGGCATGGCAGGGTTAGACTGTGCTGGCCTGGGCAGGCCTGGGCCCGGTGGGACCCAGCAAGGGCTCGGGCCTCCTCTGGCCTTCCCTGCCCTGACCTTGGTGCTGAGCAGGAGGAAGAGCAAGCAGGCTCTGAGGGACTATAAGAAGGTGCAGATCCAGCTGGAGAATCTGGAGAGCAGCGTGCGGGACCGCTGCAAGAAGGAGTTCACAGGTGAGGCTGCGAAGACCCCACGCTCCAGGGCTCTGCCCAAGCCTGCTCCCGGGCTCTGCCCAAGCCTGCTCCCATCACCTTGGGATCTGCGCCCAAACCTGGCTTCTTCTGCTCAACAGACCTTATGACCGAGATGACCGATCTTACCAGTGACCTTCTGGGCAGCGGCATCCCCTTCCTCGACTACAAGGTGTATGCCGAGAGGGTCTTCTTCCCTGGGCACCAGGAGTCACCCTTGCACCGGGACTTGGGCGTGCCTGAGAGCAGGCGACCCACTGTGGAACAAGGGCTGGGGCAGCTCTCCAACCTGCTTAACAGCAAGCTCTTCCTCATCAAGGTGCCGGCCCCACCCCCTATCTGGGCCCTCCAGGGGTGGGGAGGGGGTCCCCCTACCCTCCAGCCCCATCCCTTCTCAGTCCCTCCGTTTCTGAATCTGCCCTCCCCACCCACCCATCCCCTCTCCCTGGCGCCAGTTCATCCACACCCTGGAGAGCCAGCGCACCTTCTCAGCTCGGGACCGCGCCTACGTGGCATCTCTGCTCACCGTGGCACTGCACGGGAAGCTTGAGTACTTCACTGACATCCTGCGCACCCTGCTCAGTGACCTGGTGGCCCAGTACGTGGCCAAGAACCCCAAGCTGATGCTGCGCAGGTCTGTATGCCCGTAAGACGCTACGGGGGCCAGGTGGCTGTGGACAGCTGGAGCCAAGACCTGGGTCAGGCCTTCTGGGGCCTGGGGTCTGAAGAATAGAAAGCCCTGGGTCCCCACCTGCTGACTCTGCCCGCTCTTTCCGTCATCCCAGGACAGAGACCGTGGTGGAGAAGCTGCTCACCAACTGGATGTCTATCTGCCTCTACACTTTCGTGAGGGTGAGTGAGGCAGAGGTGGGTGGGGCTCCCCTCCAGGGAGAGTCAGGACTCTGAACCACACAGCTTCTTGTCCCAGCACAGCTTGGGCACCCCTGCCCAGTATGTCCTCAGCCACCTTAAGCCTTCTGCGGCCAGCATCCTGTCCCCTCCCCCAGCACCTCCATCCCATGCTTGTCCCCTGCCCCGGGTGTCCTAACTGCCCGCCACTCTCCCAGGACTCGGTAGGGGAGCCTCTGTACATGCTTTTCCGTGGAATTAAGCATCAAGTGGACAAGGGGCCGGTAGACAGCGTGACTGGCAAAGCCAAATACACCCTGAATGACAACCGCCTGCTCCGAGAGGACGTGGAGTACCGTCCCCTGGTGAGGGGGGGAGGGGGGGGAGAGGGGGGAGGGGGGGGGGGGGGGGGGGGGGGGGGGGGGGGGGGGGGGGGGAGGGGGGGGGGGGGGGGGGAGGGGGGAGGGAGGGGGGAGAGAGAGAACCTGCCGGTGAGTCAGTCTCCCATGAAGGTGAGGAGGGTGACCACGTATGATTGTGTGGGTGTCTGCATCTGGTTTGAGCCAGCCTAACCTCCAGCTGGCTGCAGGATAGAGGCTTGAGGGCCAGATCTTGAAGATACGACCTCAGAGGTTCCCCAGGTTTGGGGTGGGGTCAGGATGGCCACATCCAGAGTCTAGGGAGCAGCCAACCCTGCCCGGGGCCCGTCCGGGTCCTTGCTGTGTCAGGGCCTGAGTGTCTGCCTGATCATGGTCTTAGCATCCTGCCAGGGGCATGGTTGTGCCCACCAAGCTGGGAGTCACCCTGGCAGACCTGCCCATTGTTTCCCTCTGGGAAACTTTCCCCTTCGTGGCCCACGTGGAGGTCCTTTGGGAAAATCCCATTCAGGCTCCGCCAGGCCTGCTCCTCTGGCTAGTGGAGACCCCACTTCTTATGCGGGCTTCCTCAGGTGCCTCAGCCTGTCTGCGCCGGGAGCCTGAGGAGCAGAGTTCAGAGGGACTTGTGCTCTCCCATTTTTTCTGCCATTCACCCAGCAGACACTAGTGCTCTGTGCCAGGTGCTGGGGCCACAGAGTGGAGGGAGCTGCTGTCCCTGGGGAGGCAGGCGGGTGAAGAGACAAGGAGGAGTGATTGTTTGGTGCTTGGAGGTCAGAGGCAGTGGCTTCCTTATGGGTTGTCCCTGGCCTTGGCCTTGCATCTTGGTCATCCCACATGTAGCATGAGCCCTGACTGCTCCCACGTATCGTGCATAGACCTTGAATGCACTACTGGCTGTGGGGCCTGGAGCGGGAGAAGCCCAGGGCGTGCCTGTGAAGGTCCTGGACTGTGACACCATCTCCCAGGCCAAGGAAAAGATGTTGGACCAGCTTTATAAAGGAGTGCCTCTTGCCCAGCGGCCAGACCCCCGCACCCTGGACGTCGGTGAGGGCAGAGGGGAAGGGTGGTCTGGGGACCCTCAGGGCTAGGCTGGCCCTAAACCAGCTCTGCGGGGTCAGCTTATCACCCAGGGGAGGTGGGCTCTGGAACACCTCTACAGGGACAACCTGTCACCTGGTGAGGGGCCCCTGTTTCTGGACTTCAGAGAAGTTGGGTGAGGTTGCCCCTGATGGAGGGGCCAGTGTCCTTGTAGAAGAGGGGACGGGTTCCAATGCAGGGAGGGTATTCTGAAAGCCCTGGACCAAGCCCACCTTGTCCTTGCAGAATGGCGGTCTGGGGTGGCCGGGCATCTCATTCTTTCTGACGAGGACGTGACTTCTGAGGTCCAGGGTCTGTGGAGGCGCCTGAACACCCTGCAGCATTACAAGGTGGGAGGGGTGGGAGCTGGGGGAAGGCTGTGGTGGGGTGGGCTGGTGGAGGGGTCACCAACTGTGGTCCACAGGTCCCAGACGGAGCAACTGTGGCCCTCGTCCCCTGCCTCACCAAGCATGTCCTCCGGGAAAGCCAGGATTACGTCCCTGGAGAGAGTGAGTACTTACCCTCCCCCCCGCCCCACCCCTGCCATCGCAGTCCTCTACCCTTGCTTTGCCCAGTCTCCAGTAACGGGGTAAGGTCCTCTGGACTTCAGGGTGGGCTTGTGTCTACTTCCCTTCCACCCAGAGAAGCCCTTAACCAGGTGCCCCCACTCCCAGGTTTTGGCAGGACCCCGGGGGTCTAGGGCAGGGGGCACCTGATGAGGGGTGACAAGCTGTAAGGTCTTGGTACAGGGACCCCAATGCTGGAGGATGTGGACGAGGGGGGCATCCGGCCCTGGCACCTGGTGAAGCCAAGCGAGGAGCCGGAGCCGCCCAGGCCTCGGAGGGGCAGCCTCCGGGGCGGGGAGCGGGAGCGAGCCAAGGCCATCCCTGAGATCTACCTGACCCGCCTGCTGTCCATGAAGGTGGGGCTGGGGGCAGGCACGAGACAGGTAGTGGGATTTGGGAGTATGTGGGGCTCGCACAGGCCTGGTGTCACGAGGCATCTGAGGCTGGGCTGGGCTGGGCTGGGCTGAGGTCCCCTTGCTGACTGCATCTCTTGTGCTTCCCCTCGTCCGCAGGGCACCCTGCAGAAGTTTGTGGATGACCTGTTCCAGGTGATTCTCAGCACCAGCCGTCCCGTGCCGCTCGCTGTGAAGTACTTCTTTGACCTGCTGGATGAGCAGGCCCAGCAGCATGGCATCTCGGACCAGGACACCGTCCATATATGGAAGACCAACGGGGGGGGGGGGGGCGGGGCGGGCCTAGCATGGGCGGGGTCTTCTCTCCTGTCTCCCCAGCACACTCACTGGCCACACCTGTCCCGCCCACAGCTTGCCGCTGAGGTTCTGGATCAATATCATAAAAAACCCGCAGTTTGTGTTCGACGTGCAGACATCTGATAACATGGATGCAGTGTTCCTGGTCATTGCACAGACCTTCATGGATGCCTGCACCCTGGCTGACCACAAGCTGGGCCGGGTGAGCTGGCTGGGGTGGACCGGGAGGGCCTAGGTGGGTGGGGCAGCATAGCCGGGGATGGAGACTGCTGTGGTGCACAGACTCTAGGCCTTCTTGAGGATGTCAAGGAGGAGGATATAGGAGGCCTTTGACCGCAGGCCCGGGGACAGGCTTTGTCTCCGGCCTCCCTAGGAGGTGGCCGTGCCTCAGCCTTCAGGGATGAGCAAGGGCAGGGGGCACGTGTGCTGATTCACAGGGTTAAGTGGAGCAAAGAGTGCTGGCGGTGCGGCAGGAGGCCAGGGCCACTTGGCAAGGGCTCACCCTGAGGGCAAAGGGGGTGGTCAGACCTGAGAGTTAGGTGGAGCCTCCTGGCAATCATGCAGTGGATGGACTGGAGCCTGGCGTCCAGAGAGGAAGCTGTGTTGTCCCTGGGACGAGCGGTGGCCAGGTTCATGCTGGGACTAGAGGGTACAGGGCAGGCAGAAGCTGTGGGTTGGATGTGGGGGTGAGGAAGAGGGAGGGGTTCCTTACGCACCCCGGGCCTCTGGCGGTGGTGAGCTGAGACTTGGAGGAGGTGAGCCCCTGGATTCTACAATCGCAGAGCAGCTCCAGGCTGCCTCGGAGATTTGATTCCCAAGGGCAGTGGAAGTGTCTGCCAGCCCGTGCAGTACGGGGAGCAGAGTCCAGGGGAGGGCCAGGCCAGGAGGGGTGTGCTGACAGGGGAGCTGGGAAGCATGGAGGAGAGGTGGTCAGGGCTGCCTGGTGGCACAGAGAGGGGGAGGTATGTTGTCACAGTGGTCAGGACCCAGAGAGTCCTGTGACAGATATGGGGTCACCACTATGACTGCTCAGGCACCCAGCAGGCAGGGCTGTCGTGGCTCTGCATAACGGACTCTGCTTAGCCTCGACCCCTGGGCCTGGGACCTCTTGAGAGTTCTCCATGGGGAAACAAGATGGAAAGTTCCACTCTGTAGTGCTGTCTTTTGTAAGCCATTTTTCCTCTGCCTGTGCTCATTACTCTGCCTGCGATGAGCTGAGAACCACAGAGCCACACCAGGACCCAGGGGTCACCTCCAGGGTGTGTGCTGTATGGTAGCTGCGTTCTTCTGCCTGATCTTCACACTGCTTCCCCTTCCCAGCAGCACTGCAGATGCTTCCTGGGTAGCTCAGGAATAGTGCAAACCAGGATGCCAAGGGCCACCCATGGAGAGTTGCTGAGAAGCAGGCATCCTGCCTCAGGCCCAGCGCTCACGCCCTTGCTCACAGGGGGCAGTGCAGTCTTGCCTCACCCTCCCAGCAGCTGTAGGATGAGGCAGCAGGTCCAGAGAATGGAAGTGTGCTGCCCACAGCCACTGGGACAGAGCTGGGATTGGAGCCCGGTTCGGTGGTAGAGGATGTATTGGCTGTGTTAGATTGTGGGCCCTGGTCTGAGAGACCTGCTTCAAATCCCAGCTCAGCCACACAGGAGTGAGGTGGTCTGGGGCAATTTAATTAAATTTTGGGGTTAGTTTCCTGATTTTTAAAATGATTACATGGGGAATGAACAGCACTTGGAGCAGCAGTATTAGGGCTCCACATGGCACTGCACCCTTCCCACCCTGCATGCCAGTTCCCTGCCAGGTCCGGGTGGAGGCACGTGGAGCTGAGAGATGACCTTGGAGTGAGATGGGGGGAAGCTCAAGGTGATGACAGCAGAGATGGGACACTGGGGGAGGGGTGACAGAAGGAATGAGGTGGGGTGACCAACCATCCGGGTTGTCTGGGACTGAGGAGGTTTCCTGCAATTCGGGACTTAGTTTTAAAACTGAAACAGTGCTGGGAAAATTGGGACAGCTGGTCACCCTAACAGGAGCTCTCATCCTTCTTTTCCTTTCACTGTTCACCTGCTGGCACCCAGGACTCTCCCATCAACAAACTTCTGTATGCTCGGGATATTCCCCGGTACAAACGGATGGTGGAAAGGTACGAGGGAAAGGGATTGCATCTGGGGGATAATGGCTGGACGGATTGGTGGGTGTTTACAGCTGAGGCCCAGGGGTGGGCCTGGTGGGGTGAAGAGGGGTTTGTTTCCCCAGCGGCTGCCGGACCCATGATCTCTGGCAGGTACTATGCAGACATCAGACAGACCATCCCCGCCAGTGATCAAGAGATGAACTCCATCCTGGCCGAGCTGTCCCGGGTATGGCCCTCCTTCTGCTTCTTGGGTTGGGCATAGGCCTTCTGCCACAAGGGTCCTGCCCCCTTCACGCTGCTCCTTTGCAGGGAAGCCCTGGGGGCCTCAGCACAGTGTTCCCGCTGCCTCTGTAAAAGACCAGGGCTCCCAGTGTCTCATCAGAGAGCAGCAGGGGCCTTGTCCTGGCAGCTGCCACCGAGCCTGACTCAGCCAGGTGTTTAGATGTCTGCAGCCCCTCTGCAGCCCCTCGGGGTCTGTGGACCATAGTTCCAAGGCAGCGAGGTGGCAGGGATTCAGCCCCAGGACTGCCTGGGTCAGCCTGTCCACGTCTTCCTACTGCTCTGCTTTCCTTGGCACTATAGACATGCCCCCACCTACTCCTAAAACAGCCTCCAAACAGTCCAGTCCAGGGAATTTATAAACAATGTAAATCTGAAACCACGATGATGATGACCACAACCACAATAACAATAGCAGCTACAGTTTTGGGGTGTTGCCGTGCGTGGGGGCTTTGATTACTTCTCATTTGATTCCCATTAAAGCTCTACAAGTTAGGTGATATCAACTCCATTGTCCTGAAGAGGAGGTTGAGGTTCAGAGATGTCCCCATGGAGGGACCTGGGTGTGACCTCAGGAAAGACTTGAATGAGATCACAGCAGAACTATGCTGGGTCACAGCCTGTGAGCAGCACCTATTCTGCCTGGCTCTGCAATTGCCTGGGATGCCAGAGGGTCCCAGCTGGAGCCTGGAGGGGGAGAGAGGCCGAGCCCCAGTGGAGACCCCAGGCCATGGTGAAACTACAGATCCAGGCTCTCTCCACCAAGGAGGCCCTTTGGTCCTATCCTGTCCCCAGCTTAGCACGTCTAGCCTGGCATCCCCTGTCTGTGGAGGGGCTCTGCTTCCCAATGCAGGGCCCTGTTCCTTCCTCTACCTCCCAGCCCCCTCTTCCCCACTCCCCTTGCCTGGGGTCCTGGGCCTCCTCTGGTGGCTGGCAGCACCCCCTATCTCTGTAACCTCTTGTCTCTCCTCCCTAGAACTACTCTGGAGACCTGGGGGTGCGAGTGGCCCTGCACGAACTCTACAAGTATATCAACAAATACTATGACCAGGTGGGCAGAACCTGGGCATGGTCAGGATGATGTGAGAGGGTGACTGGCTCTGTGACGCAAGTGTGGGGCCTTCGGGTCTCCCCCAGGCACAGAGTGGTGGAGGGGGGCTGAGCCCTGTGCTCGGGAAGTGTTCTTCAGGTGTGCTTCCTGGTAGTGGCCCGGCTCTTACCTGCTGCCGCCCTTCCCATCCGGGCTCCTGGGCATGGTGGTGGTGATGGATGGCTGGGGATCTCCCAGGGCCTGGAGATGGTGTGCAGGATGTGCTGGGAGGAACACACAGCGGCCACCTGTGCGCCGACCTTGTGCTCCCTCAGAGCCCTACCTGAGACCACATGTGGCAGTGTGCTGTGCAGGCCATCTCTGCGGGGGTGGGCCTGGCTGGGCTGCATGCGCTGCCAGAGAGGAGTGTCTGGGGCAGATGAGGGCACAACAGAGCCGGTAAGGGGGCTTTCTGGGGGATTCCTGGGCTGGGCCTCAGGATCAGAGCGCCCACCGGTCAACCCACTGAGTGCCTGCTGGAATCATCTACCCAGATGTTTGCGTGGCCCCAGGGATGTGGCCGTTGCTGTTGAGCGATGAGGGCCCTGCCTCATGGCTCAGGCCTGGAGTGGGGACAGGCATTTGACACAGGAGTGATGCGCAAGCGTGAAGTCCAGGTGCCTTGCTCCAAACAGTGTGGGTGCCGGTGTGGGGGAGGCGGGGCCGTGTGACACAGCTGTCCCCTTGTGGAGGCGTGGCCGGCAAGCCCCTCCTGTTCCCACCCTTCCCTCTGTGGCAGCCCCCCTTGTGGTTATGTAGTTGTCCGTGTTTGGTCAATACCTGTCTCCCATCCAGTGAGCCCCACGAGGGCAGGGATCGTACCTGTCATCACTGCTGGGTCCCTGCTCCTTGTCCAGCACCCGGCATGTAGGAATTTAGGAACTGCTTGTTGCCTGGTGGGTGGGGGAGCCAGGATGGGTGGAGCAGGGCTTCCAGGGGGTTTGTGGCGGAGAAGACCAGCATGGTGGGTGAAGTTGGCCTCCACTCAAAACGATTTTACTGGGGAGGTGATATGCATTACCGTGAGTGCTAGGTACTGAGTAAAGTACTTCATTCCCTACCTCACTAATCCTTAAAACCCCACAGTGACTCTGCTGTCATCATCCCCTCCCCGAGGGGGCCCTGAGGAAGTGAGTGCGGCAGCGCACAGGGTTTCTCGGGCCCCTACCACACACCTGCTGCAGTAGCTGTGGAGGCCTATTGAAGTCTGTGGCAAAGGCAGACGGCAGGCTGACGGTCTCCCCCTGCTGAGTTGGTCTCTGCGTTTCAGATCATCACTGCCCTGGAGGAAGATGGCACGGCCCAGAAGATGCAGCTGGGCTATCGGCTCCAGCAGATCGCAGCGGCTGTAGAAAACAAGGTCACAGATCTGTAGGGACTTGGAGAGCCCCTGGCCTGCTGTGCCTCAGCCCCGCCTGGGCAGCCCCGGAACCACGAGGGAGAGACCACCTTCTTAGATGCCTGTAGTGCCTGCCCAGCGGAGTTAGTGGAAGGTGGCTCCAAGTCTCCTGGTGGCTCTGGCCTGGGCCCTGCTGGACATCTCGCAGGCGTGGGGCCTTGAGGCTGATGGAGTGGTGACCCTGAGGCCAGTGACCCTGCGGGCTACTTTCTGTGTGATGTTAGTCTGAGGGAAACTGGGGACTAAGGGCTTCCAGAGAGTGGCTGGAAGGGCCTCCAGCCCCTGGGGAGACTGTACTGCTCCTGAACACTGGCCTTTATCCCAGGGGATTCAGAGAGGAAGGAGGAGAGCCCCCACTTCCTGTCCCGTCCTCCTCCTCCACCATCCCTGACCTCATTAGCCGCCACTGGCCATGTTGCTGCTGCCATTTTCCTAGGTCCGAGAGATGAATGCCTTTCCTAGGCTGCTGCAAACTGACCTCTCAGCAGGGCTGGCTGCTTCAGGGCCACCCTGCCACCGAGGCAGCCAGGAGTGAGGGGTGTCTGCTGCAGGGGGGCCTCGGGGAGAATGGTGGCCCTACTGACCTGGCTCTTCATTAAAGGATAACACACTGTCTGGTGTCTGAGATGTGGGCTTGGCCCAGCCCTCCCTTAGCTGGAGGGTGGCAGCTGTGCCTGGCAGGCACCATGGGGAGATGGGATCTGCAGCCTCTGGGAGGTCTCATGGCGCCCACAGAATGCTCCAGATCACAGGGCTGGCTGGGTTCTCCTTGACTCCTGCACGGGGCTTGCTGGCGTCAAAGCTGCTGTGAAGGAAGTGAGAACCCCATCCAGGACGGGGCTGGCGGGCCTGAAACCCAAGGTGCAGGGGTCTGTGGTTTCTTCAAAGTCTGCCTTATCGGCAATTTGAGTGTTCAAATTTCTCCATTCCTGTTGCACTTGTTTTGAAAGGAACTGGGAAAGGATGGCATCACTGCTCCAGGTGGAGTGGATCTTGGGGCCCTTTTCCTCAGTAGTTTCTAGACGCCCTGAACCCCTGTAGCCTGGGCTGTTCTGAGGGGCTTCTGGTTACTGGGTTGTCTTCTAAGTCAAGGTATTTTGGGTGCAGATAACCCAAATGTCTGCCTGCGTCAAGGCCACCTTGTTTGGGTTTCCTGATTTGTAGCTGGAGGTGAGCTTCGAGACTGTCTCAGCTGGATCTTGTATTGCTGGCTGGGTCTACACGGCTGGGGGTTGATGCCCCCTTGACTGGGACCACCCTTGGCCTCCACAGGAGGTGAGCCTACTGAACAGAGGTGAGTCCATGGCCCTCCAGCCTTCAGGTCCTCACAAGGTTCTCCCCCATGGCTCTCTGCTTATAGCCCAGAGACCCCCTAGCCTTCCTTCCCCTCTGACACAGAGGCCCCACCTCCCAACTTAGGGGTCTTCATTGGGGGTTTGAAGAGACACAGGCTGATATGAGTCCAGGAAGAGTCCTCTTCCCTCCCTCTTATTGGCCCTAAATAATGCCTTCTCAAGGTCCTCGTCCCTAAGATGGCAGGAGCCACATTGGTGTGTCCATGCCCACTGTAGTCACCACTGCTATTCTCTGCTCTAATGTCCTTCCCTCCTCATTTCTGCCTGATGTCCAGACCACAGTCAGAGGCAGGTCAGCCAGCAGTGAGGCACTGTCATTCCGGTGTGTAAGCTTTAGTACTTCAAATGCGTGCTCCTGCCAGGTCTTTGTAGTGGCTCAGAATGGGTCTGACTCCTCCTGGCCAAACCATGGAGTTGATCCCCCATTGTGACAGTCTCAGGGAGCAGGGCTAATGGGGAATTCAGTTTGGAGTGGACGTCGAGCAGGCCCAGAGAGGGAGGGAGCCTGGTTGACACCACAGGGGCCATGAAAGACTCGTGCCTCTGTTCAGGGCTCAGGCCCCTACAGGTCCTAGGAGGCCTATAACAGGGTAGGTGAGGGCTCTGGGGAGAGGAAAACCATGTACCTGCACGCCTGGCAGCTGTGACTATTGAACATGTTGAGTCATTCACTATCATGTCTCAGAATGTTGTTCTAGTAAAAGATACAAAGAACACAAACCTGCGCAGTAAGACAGGAACTTACAAGTCTTCAAACACCACAGCTGCCAGTGGAGATTCTAAACCTGACAGAACTTAAGGATTCTAATTGGGTCTTGGCCACAATTTCAGTGTAGGACATTTGTCATTCAGGTTGATCAATCTTATTCTGATCAAGACTGCAGAGTGCCCTCACCTACTACATTACCCATAAAACATGTTAGTATGCAAAGGACCTTCGTTTCTCATCACTGGGGACACCTTAAAGAGATTAGGGAGTGACTTGCTTCATTAAGTGAACTTTCACCAACTTAAATATCGGAGTAATTATCCAGTTAGAGGATCAGGAGCTCCGTATCTTTTTTTTTTTTTTTTAGTGAAGTATAGTTGACTTACAGTGTTTCAGGTGTACAGCAAAGTAATGGATATATTTTTTTTTCCACATTCTTTCCATTATAGGTTATTGCAAGATACTAAATATAGTTGCCTGCACTATACAGTAAGTCCTTTCAGTTTATTTTATATGTAGTAGTATGCATCTGTTAATCCCCAATTCCTAATTTATCCCTCCCTCCTTTCCGCTTTGGTAACCGTAAGTTTGTTTTCTATGTCTAGAGTCTATTTCAGTTTTGTAAATAAGTTCATTTGTATCACTTTTTTAGATTCCACATATAAGCGATATATGATATTTGTCTTTGTCTGACTCACTTCTCTCGGCATGATAATCTCTGGGTCCATCCATGTTGCTGTAAATGGCATTATTTTATTCTTTTTCATGGCTGAGTAATATTCCATTGTATACATATACCACATGTTCTTTATCCATTCATCTGTCCATGGACATTTCTTGGTTATTGTAAATAGTGCTGCTATGAACACTAGGGTGGGTGTATCTTTTTGAATTACAGTTTTCATCTTTTTTGGATGTATGCCTAGGAGTGGGATTGCTGGAAAATATGGTAACTCTATTTTACTTTTTTAAGGAACCTCCATACCATTCCCCATAGTGGCTGCACCAATTTACATTTCCACCAAGAGTACAGGAGGGTTCTGTTTTCCTCACACCCCCTCTCGCATTTATTATTTGTAGACTTTTTTTTAAGATTTATTATTTATTTATTTATTTAATTTTTGGCTGTGTCAGGTCTTAGTTGTGGCATGCGGGATCTTCACTGAGGCATGCAGGATCATGTGGCACGTGAGCTTTGCTCTAGTTGTGGCGTGCAGGCTTTCTCTAGTTGTGGCGTGCAGGCTCCAGGGTGTGTGGGCTCTGTAATTGTGGTGCGTGGGTTCCAGAGCACGTGGGTTCTGTAGTTTGCTGCACGCCCGCTCCAGTTGAGGTGCGCAAGCTTAGTAGTTGCGGTGCGAGGGCTTAGTTGCCCTGAGGCATGTGGGATCCTATTTCCCTGACCAGGGGTCGAACCCGCGTCCCCTGCATTGTAAGGCAGATTCTTTACCACTGGACCACAAGGCAAGTCCCTATTCGTAGAATTTTTGGCGATGGTCATTCTGACGAGTATGAGGTGATACATCAATTGTGGATTTGATTTGCATTTCTCTAATAATCAGTGATGTTGGCCGTCTTTTCATGTGCCTGCTGGTAATTAGGATATCTTCCTTGGAGAAATGTTACTTAAGTCTTCTGCATTTTTTAATTGGGTTGTTTGTTTTTTTGACGTTGAGCTGTATGAGTTCTTTGTATATTTTGGGAATTAATCCCTCAAATTTCCATCATATGCAAATATTTTCTCCGAAACCATATGGTGTCTTGTTTCGTTTATGGACGTTTTGCTGTACAAAAGCGTTTAAGCTTACTTTTTTTTTTTTTTTTTTTGCGGTACGCGAGCCTCTCACTGTTGTGGCCTCTCCCGTTGTGGAGCACAGGCTCCGGACACACAGGCTCAACGGCCATGGCTCACGGGCCCAGCTGCTCCACGGCATGTGGGATCTTCCCAGACCGGGGCATGAACCCGTGTCCCCTGCATCGGCAGGCGGACTCTCAACCACTGCGCCACCAGGGAAGCCCCAAGCTTACTTATTTTTAAAATTTTAAAATGTTATTGGAGTATAGTTGATATACAATGTTGTGCTAGTTTCAGGTATACAACAAATGATTCATTATACATATTTGTACATCCATTATTTTTCAGATTCTTTTCTCTTATAGATTAGGACAGATTATCAAGTAGAGTTCCCTGTGCTATCCAGTAGGTCCTTCTTGATTATCATATATCTCTGTGTGTGTCTGTGTGTATTAATCCCAACCTCCTAACTTATCGCTCCCCCCACCCGAACTTTCCCCCTTTGGTCATGATAAGTTAGTTTTCTAAGTCTGGGAGTCTGTTTCTGTTTTGGTTAATTAGTTCATTGGTATCATGTTTTAGATTGCACCTATCAGTGATATCATATGATATTCGTCTTTCTCTGTGTGACCTACTTGACTTAGTGGGATCATCTCCAGGTCCATCCATGTTGCTGCAAATGGCATGATTTCCTTCTTTCTTAGGGTTGAGAAATATTCCATTGTATATATGTAGCACATCTTGTGTAGCCATACCTATGTCGATGGACATTTTGGGTGCCTCCATGCTTTGGGTATTGTAAATAGTGCTGCAATGAATGTTGGGGTGCAGATGTCTTTTCGAAGGATGGTTTTCTTCGGGCATACACCCAGGAGTGGGATTGCCGGATCTCATGATTTCTCTATTTTTAGTGTTTTATAAAACCTCCATAGTGGCTGGTAGTAGCAATTTCCATTCCCAGCAGCAGTGGAGGAGGCATGTCTTTTCTCCACGCCCTCTCCAGCATTTATTGTTTGTAGACTTTGTGATGATTGGTGCCCTATGATACCTCGTTGTCGTTTTGATTTGCATTTCTCTAACAACTAGTGATGCTGAGATCATTTCATGTGGGTTTTTTTTTTAATGTGAATATAATTTTACCTCTTGAAACTGGCTTCTTAAAGTCGGCCCTGTTTTGAATTCTTTTTCTATTACCTACCGCGCGATATCTCTCGAAGGCAGGGGTCATTTAGAGCCCCACAGGCCTTGTGAATATTAAGTTCCCCTAAGTACTGGTTTTAAGGTGGTTGTTACGGAAAACGGCCACAAGGCGGCAGCATTTCTTCATGCCCGACTCTGGTAACTCGGGCAACCTGAGCCTAGCAAAAGTCATGTTCCCAGGTTGAAAATCAGAGTGCAAAGTGCCAGAAGAAACACACGAGGGCTTGTGCCTCTTTACTTCTTCCCCCTTACCCTTCACCCTCCCAGTCAAATCCCAACCCCTGCAAAAGTGCTGTGCTGAGGGTGATGTCCTAGGTAGTTGGAGCGACTCTAAGGAAGGAGGCTGGAAGTGGAAACCCCAACACCAGGAGATGTGGAGACCAGGTGACGTTTCAAAGCTCTTGCAGCCCAGAGGATCCACCCTCCTTTGGGTGCACTAGGCTTGGTTGAGCTATAGGAGGGCCTGCCTGGATCTGGAGATTGTGGTCCCATTTCGAGTGGACCAGACACTGCAGGTCCCCGGGGGGGCTCATTTGCTGGCACATCCTCCCCAGTCC